AGCCCCCAGTACCCATATACCCCTAGAATCCCCGGGAAGAAGTAATCTGACAGTCGGGGATTGGGTATACTACAAAGCGCATCCGCAGTCAAGTGCGGAGAAGCGTTTTCACGCGGGGTTCGCCCCGAAATGGTTAGGTCCGGTTAAGTTGGGTAAGCCACTAGGGACCGGAGTGTTCTTGACGGAGGGTAAACACCCTACTAAGTTACATGTCTCAGCGATGAAGCTAGCTGTAGGACCGTCAGAGAACACCAACTAATCATACTTTGTTTCAGATGGCAGAACGACCAAACCATCCACCACCAAACCGCAACCACCGGCCATCCCGCGGCATGATTGCCAAGCATGCGGAAAAACTCCGGGCGATGGCCGCGCAGTTGTTGCGGGAAGCCAGGAGGCTGTCGGGCGATGGTCCGGAGGACACGGTTGGCGGTTGGTCGGCCGAACGCGCGGCCACCGCATCGTTCGGCCGGATACGAGCAAGCCCGACTGCGTGGGCTTTGTTCGAGCGTTGGTTCGCCGAGGGACGCCAGTTCACTCGAGCAAACACCCCACAGCCAGAATCCGCCAGGGCTCGGGCCGGACCTCCGGGGAGGGCTCCACCCCGCCAAGCAGCGCCGGCGTACCAGCGCCACGACATCCGGGATGGACGTGGCCGCTTCAGGCGGCCAGCGGTGCAGCCGCAAATCGACCCGCCAGCAGTACAGCCGCAAGCTCAGCAGCCCGAGGTGCAGCCGCAAGCTCAGCAGCCCGTGGTGCAGCCGCCCGCCACACAGCCAGAGCTCCAGCTAGCCCAGCATCCAGGCACCCAGGAGCAGCAGCCGGTGGAGCGGTGGATCCAGGCCATGGAGGTGACACCCACGAACCCGGTTATCCTCCCCGTGGACTAGGTTGCTCGGGCGCGTCTCGTGGACTCGGGGGGGGGAGTATGTCGCGGTCGTTATCGCAACGGCCGCGGTGTCTCTATCGGCGTCCGCGAGATCGCGACCGACAACCGGTCTGGCCGCCGCCTGCGGCACGGCCGCCGGCCCGGCCAACGGCGGTGGTGACGGTGGCATCTCTCGTCGGACCGTTGTCAACGCCGCACGCGTATTATTATAATAATATTAACTATATATCACCTGTGCAATATACGTCGCAAGTACCTACTTAACGTGTTCGTCGTCGTTGTTATTTACAACCCCTACAAACCGTTCCACACACCCACACCTATATGGTTTAATATAAATTGGTTGAATATCGGGTGCTGTTCTAATTCGATCCTGTATTTCTGATGTTCCATCTAATCTGTCAAATTCTAATAAAAAAACATCGAAAAATTCAATAAATATATTTTTTAATGATTGGTATTCCTCCTTGTTGAGATGCTGCAGTCTTAACGACTTCTCCAATAATTCTCCGATTTTCATTATCTGGACCTTCTGTAAATTTAGTACACACTTATATTTTTGCCTCTTCAAATTTCTCGTACACAAACTATCCAAATCTACTGGCTGTAAATCAATAGAATTCTCGGTTTGATTGACAATTTTCGTTAGCACTTGCCGATTCCTTACTGTAGTTACTACATTACCACATTGTACTCGATTTTGCAATACTTGTGAATAAATAATCACTGTATCTTTTTCCTTTATTTTACTGTCTGTAATTTTTACTTAAATTATCATTTCTGATCTCGGTGGTACTACTGCAATGTTCAAATAATCTACATGCGGACTGTCTTGATTTACTACTGTAAAATTGTCTTCAGTAAGTGTCGACGTTATTTCATTTTTTGCATAATCAATTGCTATCTTGTTGTCTTCTAAAAATTCTTTGCCTAAAATTCCATCATGAGGTTAGTACTAACTACTTGAAACCTTACTTGTCTTTTTTCTTCCCCAAAATTTACTGTTATATTTACCGACCCAATTGTGTTCACAAAATACTCATTAATCCCTTTTAATTGATATAAAATTCTTTCGTTAACTTTGACATCGTATTTTAATGATAATAACTTTATTATATTTACTTCACTACCTGTGTCAAGTAAAAATTTTGATTTCTGATTAATAAATTCCGTAGCTTGACATATAAAGTGATCTTTAAAAAGTTGAGCTTTTAATTTGAATGTTCTAGAAATGTTACGGCTGTTGCTTTGATTTCCTGGACCGATCGTTCGCCGTTCTAAATCGACCCTGTCTCGTTTCCCGAAGTTGATGGTTCTGTCATTGAACTTGAATTCGCCTGGACTAGCTCTTTTTTCATTGTTATATTTTAATTTTCTGCACATACCAATTTCATGACCTAGTTTCTTACAATATTTACAAACAATTGTTTTGTTATTATAAGCACTATTACTTTCTGCCGTTTGCCGATGAATATTTGCAGACCCGTTGTTCGGTTTCGAATTTGTAACCCAGTTCTTTTGATTCTCTTGAGACTGTTTTATAAATTGATGATTTGATCTTGACCTACATACCTTGGCCATGTGACCTACTTTACCACAGTTGAAACACGTAATTCTCGCTGCTTCTTGTTTCGGAATTTTTGATTGTCTTTCCTTATCTGATTTGTATGACGTTTCCTCCTGTTGAGCCACCGCAAATGCTTCCTCAATTGTACTCGGATGACTTGCCTTTACTAACATTTTTATCGGTTGTCTTAGTCCCTCAATAAAAACACTCAATGTTTGTGTTTTTAAAATTCCCTCTATGACTTCTACCACTGCTGTAATTTTATCTTTGGTTTGAATATTTAACTTTAAATGAAATAGTTTCTCTAACCGATTATAAAACGTACTAATTTCCTCATCATATTTCTGACGGGTTGTGGTCAATTCCAACAACAAATGTGTGGAAGTATGTTGTGGTTCAAAACAATTTTTTAAAGTTGTTTTCAATTCTTCCCATGTATCTATCTTTTTAAATCGAACAACCTGTGCTGCTTTTGCTGTCAAATTTGCTATTATTGCTCCTACAATCTTGGGCTTTATGTCTTCACTAATACACGAAAAAGCAAATTCTGACGACTTTATAAAATTATGTAAGCCTTCAGAGTCTTGCTTGTCAAACTTTGGTAAAATTCGAAATGCTGTCTCTAAGGAAGTAATTACACTCATATCTACTAATTCTGTATATGTTTGATCCAAATTTGGCACAAAACTGTACGACTGAGTACTACTATCAAAAGAAATATCTTCCTTAACGATGTTTGAACTTGATGCTGCTGGTACTCCTAACCGTCTACGTTGTATTGGCAAATGTAATGTATTCCTACCAGTATCAGGATTTTGAAGTCCTAACAAAGTACTCTGATTTTGCACTGTATTTTCTACTGTATTTTCTACTTGGTTACTATCGCTATGCCTACTATCATCAGAATCCAATGACCTATCTGGAATAAATGTTTCGTCTTTACTATCGTTCCGTGTTGAGTTATTAATACTAGCACTTTCGTCACTCATCAATTAAATAAAAATAGAAAAATATGGATAGAAACTTAAAGATATGCTTAAAATATATATAAACCAACTTACAATACCAATAAATTTAACATTATTGAAGTTGTTCCTCTACTGTCTTTGACACCGTTGAATGCTGAATTTGTTTGGAATGCTTCGAATTTGACTGGAATGATCTATAATTGACGGGAATGCTCTGTAGTTGAATGGAATGCTCTGTAATTGACTGTAATGCTCTGTAGTTGAATGGAATGCTCTGTAATTGACTGGAATGCTCTGTCGTTGAATGGAATGCTCTGTAGTTGAGTGGAATGATCCGTAGTTGACTGGAAGTATGTACCTTTACTGGTTCAAAAACAATTTAACTCACCCTGATTGAAAGATGCGTCTCGTTCGAATTAATGGTTCTTTTGATCCGCTGCCAAAAATGTTACAAGTCGGTTGACCGTAGCCTCGTACTTGTAGAGTTTGAATATAGATTTATTAAATAAAGTAACAAACACACGTCTTTTCAGTTATAAAGTTTATTGAGATGAACATATATAGGCAATGGCACTGTCCATTCTCCACTAATTCTCTTACAATCTTAATGTTCCTTATATCTAAACTTATATAGGACATTCGGTGTGCGCCATCAGGGCAGTCTGGACTGATATTCCCTCAAATTATTGTATATTCCCCCCAACAACCTACACTGCTCTGCCACACTTCGCTGGATTTTCAAACAACATCGACCGTTGCGGCCCACGGAACACTGCGTCTCACCCGTAGTCACTCGCCTTTTCACCGACCTCTGAAGTTACACGAAGTACGTTTGTCTTCACGTCCCAGCTCAACTGTGTCCTGCGCTCCGTCGAAAAACCATTTGAACGTGACATTTTCAACTTCATTTTTTTTACCTTGGTGTGTAACCATACGATGATGGGCTAACGTTTCACCAACAGGCTGTGGGGGCCTCAACACCCGAGACAGCATTACCTCGGCTCATCTACGTACAATTGTTCTCCAACGACCAGGTGGGCCATGCCGACCACGTGTGCGTCGGTGGCGTCAAGCCAGCCCACCCATATCTGCGGAGTACCACAAGATCTATCCACGTCGTAACGTATCAATACTCCCCTTTATTCCCCCCGTTAGTAGAAATTGAACCTAATAGACCACCTTTAAAAAAACGTGCTTAGACGGCACAGGCCGGTCGCCGACCGCCTTGCTCTGGAGCTGACCGGGCCAGGTTACATTGACCCCAAACAATGTGTAAATTAATAATATTATAATATCCTAATTATGTTTTTTTTCTCTCTCTTTCCCTGCATTTTATTATATTTGCCATGTGCCACCATATATGTTTTGTGCGTTTGCCATACGTCCCCCTATACTGTTTACTATATCCTATAAAAAATGACAATGTTGTTAATTAATTAATTATTTGTATGTCCATGTAAAATACATCAACCTAATCTAATCTTAATTTATTATTAGTGATTTATTTTTTTCCCAACATAAATCTTGAGGGTTTCATTACCCCATGCGTGTACAAAGCCTGTGAGCTGGTAGACCTATGAGGAGCCGTGGTTGTCAACTGGCAGCAGCAGTTCCAGAAAATCATGAAATGGTAAGGCATCCAAATATGTGCGAACAACCAGGTGGTAACCTTGGATTAACTGAAGATCACCGTGTTCTCAGTAATATACTATACATTTAAGTTAAAAACACATTATATACTCTAGTTACTATACTTTAAATATAAATATTACAGGGAATTCAGACAATATTAAGGTGCCAATCCAAATTCAAGTTAAACATATAGAAATAAAATATGATAAAAAATATACTGTCTTAACGAAATATGACTTTTTAGCAAATAATGAAGACCGAAATGAGCGCCTTGATCTGCCAGAAAACGAAAGTATTCTTTAGATTATTTCTATAAATAAAATGTTGGAATGTCACCATTGGGCGGTTCTCCACCCAAGTACTAATGTTTAGTAATTTATTCTTTTACGCTCATATGCTTATTGTAACTGTATTACAGATTGTATATTATTCTAACAAATTTAAAAATAATAAATAAAATAAATTATTTATGAATAAATATGTAACGCAACGCGTGCACCTCGACAATCTTACCGGCACCCCGCACCGATATCGTGATCCACTTGCCCGGTGTTATGTTCTCGCTGCGCGGTGTGTAGGCGTGGACTCGGGAGCAACCTCCGAATCCTCCCACCACTACTTCACTGTATATGGGTTCCCGGGACGATACAATAGTTTGATGAAATATAATTTATTAATTAGTAGTCCACTGTACGCCGGCTAAATTTGTTTGCCATTACCGTGTGCGTCATAATATATTATAATATTTTATGGTGTATTTCATTTTTCTTAATAAACATTAAAAGTACACCATGGAGTGATACACCCAGAAATCCCTCCAGCGGTGAGCCTCACCGACGGGCAAGATCCAAGGGGAAACACTGCGGAGACGCGTAGACCTCCATTGGGTAATATGTATTATTTATATGTTTAGTTGTATGCCTTGGCCGGCCTCTTTGTGTTTTATTCGTATTTTCACACTAGGTGAATACGGTATTATTATTATTATTATTATTCTTAATGTCAATTGTCATTATCTGTATATTTATACATTGGTAATGTGGTGTGTGTATATCACGGGGTGACGAAGGCTCCCGTCGAAATTGTTATTATTTTTTTGTTAATTTTCTGTTGTTGGAGTTTTACGCCAGTGAGCTTTCTCCACTAAAAAACTTAAATAAATTTCCCCAGTTGATTAACTCAACGTTTGCTTTGTCTTATTGTTTTACCCGATTTTTTTTTTTTTAATCCTACGGCCTCCTTCACCAGTATGGTGTTGTATGGGTCATAGGTTGGCGACCTACAATATATTGCCGGGCGTCAGTAACCAAAGCGTTACAAATATTCACTTAGGCTCTTTTCACACGGTGAACCACGATTGCGCCCAGCTTACCTTTTTCCATTCAAAAAACGCAATACGATTGCGCTCGATCAATTAGCACTATCGCGCCAGTCTATAACCTTTTTTACCTGCATAAAAAGCAACACGATTGCGCTCTAATATATATATAATATATATATGTGTTTGTCCCGTATATGTATATGTTATATAACAATTTTCTAGTACACTATTTAAAAATACAGTCGGACTTGGTTTTCCTTGGACTTGATTTCCCCATATGTACAACCGAGTAATCGAGATAATGTTTTATTGTTAATATTTATCTTATTATCCATGGACTGCAGATATCAGTATGCTTCAATGATAGTATCATGATCGGATTTTACATTTGAGCTGCAATTGACTGTTGGCTGGTGACTGTTAACTATTTTAAACCGTGTTTAATTCACTAGCTGTTCCGTAAAGTGTATCGTCGTGAAAATAATAATAGTGTAAAAAATGGATCTATGTATATCAAAAAAGTTCGAGACTGAGAAAGGTAAACCATGCATATTAGTAAATGGTCATAAATATAGGGAATATAAAATACTTAAAAGCGTAGGCAGTATTCGGTATCGGTGTACTAACAAAAATTGCCAATCGAGTATATATGTTGACAATAATGTTACGAAAGTTCTTAGCATGCTTAATGAACACAATCATGAAAATATTTCGGAAAATATCGTTAGTAGACAAATAATAAATTCACGAATTAAAAGAAAATGTGAAAAAAACTTATTCATAAGGCCGAACAAAATAATTCGACAAGAACTACGTAGCACTGAAAATGATTTACAAACCGTCCATTCTAATATCAAATTATGGAGAAAAAGTATGTACGATTTCCGTAAAAAAAAATTACCAACAATTCCAAAATCACTGGAAGAATCAAAATTTCAATTGTTTAACTTGCGCGATACTCTTAAAACTAAATTAGATGAATATTTTTGCTACATGGAAGAAATTTCAAATATAGTTGTATTGACTTGCCCAACTAATCTGGATATATTAAGTCGTTCAAATCATATTTTTGCTGATGGCACATTTTTACATTCGCCAAAATACTATGATCAACTGTACACAATTCATTCGCTATAAAACGATTTTTATATTCCTTTAATATACTGTTTTTTGACGTCAAAATCAACTGAATATTATGTAGATATGTGGCGCACATAATTGTAATTTATACATTTGTATTATTTTTATTCTTATTATTATTATGATTAAAAAATATTTAATTAGACATTTTTAATTAAAAAGAAATATCTATGCTAGAGCTTATTAGAGTATTATTATAAAAAAAAAAAAAAAAAAAAATTGTAACTCAAAATTTTTAACCAAGCCAACAATTTAATTTTGTTGTCAGTCCTAAGCCTGTAAAATTGGGAAGGAAAATTATTAAGAGCGCAATCGTGTTGCGTTTTATGCAGGTAAAAAAGGTTAAAGACGGGCGCAATATTGCTAATTGGTCGAGCGCAATCGTATTGCGTTTTTTGAATGGAAATAGGTAAGCCGGGCGCAATCGTGTTACACCCCTTTTCACACTACACGGCTTTGACCGTACGGATAAACCGGATCAGTGGCTCATTACACATTATACGGTTTTGACCGTACGGTAGAACATGATTATGCAGGTTTCCTATGCTTAGTATACTTTTTTACAGGTTTAGTTTTATAAGAACACTCAAGTCGCGCGTTGTTACAATGAACGCCAAACAAATAATTGCACTATGGTTATACAATCGTCGACGCAAAAGACAACAGAAAAATCGTATTTTTTGGGGTCAATCCTATTAATTCTAGAAGAGAGGAAGTAGGATTATTTTATACTTTATTTAATGACTTACGAAATTATGAAAATAAGTTTTTTAATTATTTCCGTATGTCATGTGCTTCTTTTGATGTATTATATGGAAAACTCAGGGATAAGCTTCAACGTGAAAACACGCAATTTAGAAATTGTATACAACCAGTTGAGATGTTATCGATAACATTGAGGTTAGTTATTAATTAACTTAATATAATTATACTGTTAACTGATAATACTTATAAAAAATACGCTAGAAAATAAAAGAAAAAACAATTTAATAGAAAAAAAAATCGCATCTTTATTATTTTAATATAACTGATAATACTTTATAAATAACAATAGAAAATAAAAGAAAAATGTTTGACTGTTACATTGTTTTTTTACATGTCAATTAAAAAAAAAAAAATGTAATATATTAAAATGTACTAAAATAAATGCTTTCTGTTATTGAGGATGCTACTGAATTTACAGAAGGGCTATTCTGTTCAAGTTCTATGTAAGAGACCTCTTGGTTGGTAGTAATTGGAGTCAGTTGTTTACTGCATGATGGAATTTGATGATTTCCAGTTGAATATGGCTGAGATAAGAAAACATTGGAGTGGTTGGGAGTGTTGAACAATTGTCGAGGATGATATTGAGTAGGATTTGATGTATTTACATAAAGTTGCTAATAAGGTGCGAAATTAGAAGATGTAGCAAAATGTTTTTCTTTCTTACTTTCATTGATATTTTCGATAACTTTCAAAACACCCATTTGAAATTGTAAATAGTCCTGATTATCAAATTGTTGCAAGTGAGACAAGAGACTTTGTAAAAAAGCCATTTTATTGCAAGGTTGATCCTTTTCTTCAAGTAATTTTATAATTCATAAATCAATGTCGTTCTGACTTTTATTTTTCCTTCCTTTTTGTGGATTAATTATTTTTTCCCTAGAAATATCTGAAACATTACCTGAAGCTTGCAGTTGTGGCTCTATGTCATCTTTTTCATTTTCTGGATCGTATCTCGCTTCCGGTTCCAGGCTATTCGAAGTCAGTCGCTCAACATAAATTGCAATTGATCAAAATATACATATTTCTTCATTTTTTTTGCTCCTGAGCCACTTCTCTTGCACTCTTTGTCTTTTTTGAAATATTTTGAAAATGAATCGCGAAGATTAGTCCATATTTTAGAACTCCTTGACCTGAAAGAAAAAATATTTATCAAATATTCAAATAAAGAATATTGATAAGTCTAAAAAAATTTTACTACTTAAAAACGTTATAACAGACACAAAAATAAATAAATAAAGCACCCACGTCATTGTAAAATCAATACATCCATCGCTCTGTTCAGAATCTAAAAATAATTGTATATACTATATGCTATTCATAATTTAAATTTTTTCTAGGTATCTTGCAAGTGGTTGTACATTCACCGATTTACATTTCAGTTATAGAATAGGAATTTCAACAGCAAGTAAAATAGTAGAAGAAGTATGTACAGCAATTTGGTGCCTAATGAGAGAGGATTTTATTCCAACACCAACGAAAGAAATATGGGAGTTAATTGCTTCTGGATTTGAGAATAGAGCTAATTTTCCGAACTGCATAGGACCCGTCGATGGCAAACATATCCGTTTAACTTGCCCACTTAACAGTGGGTTAATGTATTCTAATTATAAAGGATATAATTCTATAGTTCTCATGGCAGTTGCAGATTCCAAATATCGATTTGTGTACACTGACGTTGGGAGTTATGGTAAAGACTGTGATTCTTCAGTGTTTAAGAGGTCTAGTTTGTGGAAGTCAATAGAAAATAATGAACAACAATTGCCAGTAGCAAAATCTTTGCCCGGAATAGACAGTCCAAAACTACCTTACTTCTTCATTGGAGACGAAGCATTTGGTTTACATAAACATTTACTGAGACCTTTTGGTGGAACACATCTGACAGTCGATAAAAGAATTTTTAACTATCGACTATCTAGAGCAAGAAGATTTGTTGAATGCTCTTTTGGGATCCTCACAAATAAGTGGCGGATATTTCATCGACCAATTAATGTACAACCAGAATTTGCTGTCAAAATTGTAAATGCTTGCATTGTTTTACATAATTTTGTACTTGAGAGGGATGGATATAACGATTTGGATACAATGTCAATCACAGGTTTGCCAGATATATCTGATGAGAGTAACGTAAGAGGAGGCCTTACACCAAATAACATAAGAAATACATTGTGTAAATATTTTGTTTCTGACGTTGGAAGTCTACCATGGCAAATGTCGAAAATATAAACTTGAAATACCAGTGAATATATAACATTAACTAATTTATATCGGTATTTTAATTTTTTAATAAACTAAGAATTTATATTTTAAATAATATTTTATTATTGTAGTATTAGTAAAAATATACTTACCAAACAAATTTTTTTCCTTATCATCAAGAGCATCAAATTCCGGGTTAAGTTCTATTAAAACTTCTCACCAGGCATTTTTTGTAGCATTTCTATCTTTGTATAGTTCTAAACCTTTGTCCCACAACACTGGTCTCTCTTGCACGAGAGTAATTAAAAATTCAATATCGAATTCCGCCATTATTTTGTCAATATATTGTAAGTTTAAGTTTAATCGTGTCTCGAAGTGACTGATATCGGGACTGATCGAACTCTGCCACACGAATAAAATCGTATAATGTGAAAACGTGCATTTGGTCACGTACGCCACTAAGCTTATCTCGCCGTCCGGCTGCCGTATACTGTAGTGGCAGTAGACGGCAGCTGAACGGCCGAGGCACGGCGCCGGAATTTTGCCGTGACCGTAAAATATGAAAGCGTATAAGCTCTTATTCGGGGAGTTACCCGTTTCCGCCAAAAGTGTACCTTTCCCTTTTCCCCCAATTCAGTTATCCGCCAAATCAAAAAAGTTAGTCTAGTATTTAAATAATATATATATACAATATGCATGTCAGTCATATTTTAATATATTATGTAAATTATAATTTTATTTTTATTTCATATACATGTCAGTCATATTATAATTTTTTTTTTAATATAGGATTCATAATAACAGTTTTTTTTTACTATAATTAAGAAGTTTATACTATAATGATATATATATATAACATACCGTAATTTCAACTTACTGATAAATTTATCACTGATTATCGGGATATTTCCCAAACGCTATCGATTTATCTTCCTAATCTTGCTTGTTGTATCAGTTATACTGTTACAGTTGATAGTTGTACGATACGTACGAAATCAACCGTTATTGTATAATAATAAGCAGCCCAGTCGCTTTCTAACCGTTCTCGATAAAGTATAACATACTATTGAATTTATTACTTCTTTTGAACCTAATCGCGTTGTTAACAGTAAAACATAATATAAAATTTTAGTGTATTTCGTGAATTAAATTTTTAATTTTGTCAATAAAAACTACAATTTTGATTTTGAACCATCTATAAAACACACACCGTGGAAAACCATTATTAGTTTTAAATAATTATACATTTTGTATTGGATCAGTGAACAAATCCACTGGTTCAACTCGTTGGCGATGTATTACAAAATATTGCAAAGCAAAAGTGTACACGGAAAATAATGTTCTAGTACATGATGATTGTGAACATTTAATTCACATAGTACATGAACCTTATATTCGGCCAATAATATCTAGGCTTAAATTTACAGATATTACTTCGTAAAAGAAATATCATACAACTATAGTAAGGTATAATAATATTAATTATAAAATATATGACTGACGCATGTATGTAAAATATAAATAAAAACATAATTTTAATTTTATTTATAAAATACATAGTATATTAGGTATAACACTTTTTAATAGTGATAAGAAACAAAATAGTTTTAATTTTTAATGTAAATTATAATATGACTGACGCATGAATGTGAAATAAAAATAAAATTATAATTTACAATATATTATAATATGACTGACATGTATATTGTATATAATATATTTAAATATTATTCAAATACTAGACTAACTTTTTTGATTTGGCGGAAAAGTGAATTGGGGGAAAAGAGAAAGGTACGGTTTTGGCGGAAAAGGGAATCGAACAATTTATGATTTGGCGGAAAAGAGAATTTTGGGAAAAGGGAAAGGTACACTTTTGGCGGAAACCGGCAATGCCCTTATTCGCATCTCTAACAAAATGTCGCCGTACGGTCAAAACCGTGTAGTGTGAAACGAGCCTTATTCTACATTTTAATTTGTATTAAAGTTGAACAGCCAGATATCGATGATACGTTAGTGGAGGAAGAGGACTATGAATAGTTGAGCTTGGCATAGATGATGCTCTTGTTGACGGTAGATTGATTTTAAATGTTATAATACTGAAACATTAGCTTTCCATTTTGTTTCAGAACAAAATATTCAACCAGCTCACCAGGCAGTTGATTTAGATATCCACACATTCTAAGGGAAGTTATTATTAGTATTATTATTATTATAATAATTTTCCTTTAAGAGGACGTTACACTGGCATTTGTTATCTCCGTCTTAGAAGTAAGTAACATACCTAATTTTACTCTCAGAAAATCATGTTTAGCTCCACTAGTTTAAAAATTAGAGTGAATTTACCTCATAAAATGTAAAGGTAAGATTATTGTCTAGGGTATCTCATAGGCTTTTTATTATATTTTAATTTTAAAGCGAGTTATAAAAATTTATTTTTTGTAATAATAATATTTATTTTTAATTTTAAAATTGTAAATTTTATGTACATATTAAAATACTCATAACTTGCTTTAAAGTTAAAATATAATAAAAAGCCTACGAGATGCCATATAATAAACTTAGCCTTAAATTTTAGAAGAGGGCAATTTAATCTAATTTTTAAACTAACGGAGCTAAACGTGTTCTACTACGCTTACAATTTGCTATGTTACACACTTGTAAGACGGAGACAACAAATGTTCTTGTAACGTCCTATTAAACCAAATTTAAAAATAAAAACTCACTTAAGTATTTAAAGTTTAGACGAGCGGAGTGGAGTGGTTCGGGGTACACCGCGAAATGTTTGTCCACTTTACCGCTCGTCTAAACTTTAATTACTTATAACTCATAAACTACTCGCCCCAAATTCAATTTTCATGTATCAAAATACTAAGAAAAATATTCTACTTTAGAATATAAAATTAAAATCCTATGTTGTCATTCAAAAAATTAAAAAACTTAAAAAATTATAAGGATAAAAAATAATTAAAAATATAATTTTTTAATAAAAACGTTTTTTTTATAAGCTTTGTAAAAAAATTTACACTTTTTGAAATAATGAGTGTTGTTTGATAAAAGAATCACCCAGTATATATGAATAGTAATACTTGAAAATGTCATCTATAATGTATCATTGATATAATTGAATTCAAAGCATAGTACATCCTGTTTTTGAGGTAATATCTAAAATATCTTCAACAAATAAAATGCCAATTTACCAATTTAGGTGTAGACAGCTTTTATTCGAATCACAATTAATGTGTTATGGATTTCACCATCCTCTGAATAGAATGAATGGGTATACAATTGTTCATAACTCGTCAACCACAGACAGAGTGGTCTTAGATTAGAATAATTAAATTACACAAAACAAATTTACTACAACTTTTTTAAAGAAACTGGAGTCAACAAATTATGTTATTAACAATTAATAGCTTAATGAATTTCAAATTATAAGATGTGATTGGGATCAAGGAATATCTGCTAGATATTAAAAGTTTTGTGGGTCCAGAAGCAATTGTTTGTTTCAAATTATTTTTAGTAATCCAAGAATTTAAATGATTACAAAGAGTGTAGGTACCTAAGAAAATATTATTATTACCTTGTCACATTGAAGAAAAAAAATGACGCTGAGGTTGCCTAATAAATAATAGTCAAAACAAATATTTAAAATATTAAAATATCTAATTTCTAATTTATCCATCGTCTAAATTAAGATAATATTAATAGTAAATCACGTGTTTTCTACATTTTAATGAAAACAAATGTCAACTATAAATTTTAATATCATACTAGCTGTGACACCGTGTAGTGTGCTTCTGTTTTTCATTTCCAAATTCTGAAGTTCTACTTTACATCGTGGAACGTGGATTATACTTTAATATAATCTATACAATGTCATATTGTTATAACTTATATTAAATATATAACTTATAAATTATATAATTATAATTATTTATGATGGTTTTTACTTATCAATTATCATGTAGACATGTGGTTATCTCTATCAATAAAATGCAAATATTATGTCGGAATAACATAATATAATATCGTTATAGTATATGTTCGAAGTAATTGATATCGGAGCAATGTTATGGTTGACAATAAAAATTTTTTTTCGGAGTAATACAATGTTGTAGTAGTATATAGTCGTAGCACTGGTGTTTTCCCGTCTCACCTGCAGTGTAGTTCCACGGCCGCTGATAACGTAGTTTTACAATACTATTGATCACTTTCTTTTAGGTTATGTTTATAATATGATAACGTTCTTATCAGTAATTGGTGGTCCATTTGTATATGGTTTCTAATTAACTTTTATTGATTTACTCATAATTTTATTAGTTAAGTCTTACTTAAAATTGTGTTTTTTTTGCAAGCATACGACGTTTAAGTTTGCCTTGTTGAGCATCACTTTCAGAGTTTAAGTCTTCAGAAGTTGACATTACTTCAGCCATCTTTAATTTTTGTTTTGCCCTTATGAAATCATCTATACATTTTTATAAACAATAATAATAAAATTACTACATTTTAAGTCAAAGATGGAATCATTTAAAAATAGGAGAAAATTTAAAGACACTCACCAGAAGAAGCCCAAATTTTTTTAATCTTATACAATGTCCATGCATTAAAATCAGTATTTAATGAGTTTAACACCATCTTGTCATACATTTTACTATTCACATTTTTTAGGTTTGGAAAATAAACGCGTTTTAAATTTTCTGTTAACCATTTTTGATTTACCAATTGAAGACCATCATCACAAAATTCAATGACCACATATTTTCTAAGGAAAAGTTAAGCCACAATAATTACTTTTGTATTAATATATTTGTGTACCAATAATGTATATTGTCCAGCCAATTATAAATAAATATATAACATTACTATATATATATATATAATACATTAATACATTTATAACTATTTAATATGAGTTGTGATTATTCTATTATGAATTTGATACATAAATAGGAATACATTTAAATAATTTGATTATATATGAATACATGTATAATTTTAGGTACACAATATGAAAAAAAAACACAGGCAATTGAATTTATAAAATAATTGTTTTGAAAAATTATAAATTGTACAAATAACCTACCAAAATACATAATTCTTTATAATTTTTTTTTGTAGTACAAAAGTCCTAAGTATAAAAATAATTAACATTAAATTAAAATAAAATAAAATATTAGTAAACAAATCAGGTCATGAAGATTTAAAATACCCATAAATTAAAATCTACAAATTTACTGTACAAAATAATTAATAGTATGCTATTTAAACATAAATTGTACTATTAAAAATCAGGCCTTTCATTAATTTCTATATGTAACAATGGAAATGCTGCATACGATGGTTCCTGAGCATATTTTGTAGGATAAATAAAATATTTTCTATCAATAAATTCTATTGGCCACATTTGTCTTTTTGATAATTTTGAAACTTCAAATATATTGAAAACAGATGATGAACACGGTATATGATACAAGTCTTTTTTTGAAGTAAATTTTTTGCCAATGATTAGTTTTCTTTTCTGATTTTCACTGTAAGTAAAATTTTCTATAAAAACAATATCTCCATTTTTCTAGTCTACAATATTGATCAGCTTTATTATAAATATTTAATTTGAATTTATGATGTAACAAAATGGAATACTGTTGGATTGAATATTTTTCTACAATTGGTCCATTATGATGCTTAATTTTAAAAATATATTGATCATTATCCTGACTGTTTTTTTCATAAGTGCCATCAATAGTTTCTCTGTTACATTCATATTCTTGAACTCTTTTAGCAATTTGTTGCAGTGGTTTTTCAGATTTCCTAAGAAGTTTTTTGATCTGCTGCATATAATTCTCAAATTTAAACGTACTGAACATATCTAAAGATCCATAATTTCTGACATCATTAGTTAAGTGTAGCAATCCATGCACATTGTGAGATACATGGTGACTACCATAAATTATTTTTAATGTTGTTACAAAATGTTGTAAGAGATTTTGTGCGTACTCTAAATATTTTTCATTTAAGCAACAACTTTTAGAACAAAGTATTGTAATTGCTACATGAAGAGTGAGAAAATTATTAAATACTTCGGTTGATAAAACAGGTTTCAAAATGGTTGGTCCACTATACAAAAGTAATTGTCTCCATTCAGTAGCTTTCCATTGACGGAAGTGAAATAGACTTCTTGGTTTACGTTGAAACTACTGGCACGTGTGGTCTTATAATATTTTCTAATGCATTTGAAATTACTTGGACTTTACGAAATGGTAATCGAACTTTCAAAGCATCACAGAGCCATAAATTTATAAGCTTTTTAACCACTCATAAACAAAGAAGATGTTGGTAATCTAATGGCACATGAGAAACAAGACCAAACTGTGGAATATTTTCCAAACAACTTGTTCCAAGATGATAACCCTCTGATGTTTTGTTAATAAAATCTTCATCAGTTCTTAATCTACTAGGTTTATCAGAAAATGCAATTCTTCGGTTTTGATATTCACCTTTTTCGTTGCACTTGGTACAGCTTGAATAGCCACTATGACTTTTCACATTCAAGACAACAGCTTTAGCAGGTGCATCTGCACATAGCATTTTAAGTACACATCTATAAAGATTGTTATTAAATATTACTCCATTTTCTCCTAATTCTTTAGGTTCTGCAATAAAGTCTTCCAAAAATAAATTGGAGTCGTCAGGTTTCTTAGTTTGACCATAATAAATGCCAATAATAAATACTTCAGTAAAGTTATAAATGGACCCTAAGATTGGCCAAACTTGGCCTCCTGATGATCGACTAATAGGTAAACCGTCAACATTAAAAACTATTTCAATTGGAATATTATTTTTCTTATAAAATGTTTCATTTTTCTTTAAAAACTGTATAATTCTTATTTTTAAGCCGTAGTGCCAATAAAGTCCAGGTTGTACTTCTTTGACTATAATTTGTTTAGGAGTTTTTAATAGTGATCGTGGATCAGAGGGAATATCTAGGAAACATGAGTGATTTTTTAAAATTGTCAGTAATTTTAATAATGATGTATGTTTTACATTTTCTTGAACAGCCCAGGATGCTAAATTCTGTTGAAATGTTTGGAGATTGACATTTTGAGTGGAAACTTTATAAATTTGTTTCAAATTTTCAGTCGCACCAGATTTTGTAGAAGTTATAATAGTGAAATTATCATTAGGTACTATTTGAGATTGTTGAAAGGCAGAGCTATGAGCAGAACAGTTATTAAATTTATCAAATTCATCATTACTTTTAATCTCACTTTTAATTGAAATAGAGGAAATAGATTTGGTATTTTGTGAAGTACATAATATATTTGTTTTTACTGAGCGTATATTTTTTTTAATCCTTCTTCAAAATTGTGATATTGATATTTCATTGTCAGGTTTCAGATATCTGTATAAACAATATTTCTGTTAATATTTGTATATTTAATAATACTCCTTACACACCATCTAAATTATTCAGTTCAACAGTTCAACCTTGACAAAATTAAAATATGGACTTAGGTATTCCCAAAAAGTATTGAAAATTAATTATTTATTATAATGAAAAAATTATAATCAAATGACATGACATATTACAAAACAATTAAAATGTTATTTTACAGTAGGTAGGTACTTCCTAAAATTTTCTAGAGTATCCTAGTTAATATATAACCGTAGGTACCTTCGACACAAACAAAAAAACAAAAACTACCTATTGTTTTAAATTCATTTTTTTTCTAGCCTATATAGCACCTATAGTATGACAGTTCAAATAACAATAATTAGCGTAAAAGTATTTACAGTTTGAAATTTGTATTAACTTGAAATAACTTTTGTAAAAGTATATTGGGTAGAATAGGTACCTATAATTATAAAGAATATTATAATATTAATATATAGGTATACCTATTATTTACAGTTTATTATTTTAAATTTTTTGTTTTAGAAGGGTTCTTTTACTGTTTTACCATAAAATTAAATTGAATAAATTCAACTACATGTAAGAAAGACATTTTATAGTTAAACTTAAAAGTAATATTTCATAATATAATTTATATTATTTTGGACCCTACTCTATTATGCGCTAAGATGGCTTAACTAAGTGTAAACAGCATGCCAATAATATAACATACTATAATAATTATAATACCAATAGGTTTATACCTTATATTGCCTGATTCTCCTGGGTTGACTGCGTCATTTTCTTCACTTAAACTTGATTTTGAACAAGACATATTTATTTAGGTAGATACTGATTAGTAATTATATACACAAATTGAATTGAAGATCTAGATAAGCATAACACAAAATGAGTACAACTTTACATCACTTTCATCACCTAAGAGGTAGTTCACTATTATTATACTTTAAAATTAAAATAAAACAAGAATTCAATGAAAATCTAAAATGATGAAACTGTATTTGAATTATTGTACAATAATTGATAGAGTTAATAATGAACTGAAAAATACTTACAGCAATAATTACTAAAACACAAGATGAATATCAAGTACACAATGACAATAGTGGGCAATAATGATTATGGTAATAAAAATTAATAAATTATAGTCAGAATGGTTAGGTTATGGACGTTATGTCTACACTCTACAGACTCAAGTCTCAAAATCTGATGTGGCTGTTATTATAGTACTAACACAAACACAAAATGGGTAATTTTGTAAAACTTGCATTTTAAAGATAATTATAGAATTTCCAAATAATTTATGCCCAACGGTCGTTTCCCGTTATTATCACAGTATTAGATTATAGTCAGCTGTAGCTGATATCGTTATCTGTGATTTATCATGTTATTATGTTTCTATAATGTTGTATCCTTCGATAAACGCGATAAATATCGACAAATAAAATATTAACTTTGTTCAATCTGCTACTGTGTATTAAACTTTAATAAAATAATTACATTTTGTACTATATCATAATGGGTACTTTCAATAATAATTTAATTAAAAAACGTTGAACATAATACTGAACATTGATATAATTAAATCAATAGATAATGAAATATTTTAACTTTATAAAATATATGAATTATACTTACGAGTTACGGCGGAATTTTCAACACATATGGGTTAAAAATATTAGTGTAAAAAATATTGTTGAGGGTATAATATTACGATATTCAGTGAGTTACTGAGCTCCACTTAATGTGATCACATTGGTTCAGATAATTTTGATTAGGTATATTAACAGGTCAATTATTCCATATAAAACATTTTTTTTAAGATAGGATTTTCAATTTTGATTTCAATTAACGGTTGATTCTATAAATTACGCGGAACTCGTTATAATATTATTTTCACACATTTTTGGTGGCATTATTACACCTGGGGGTAAGTTCCTTTGCAACTTCAGCCGCCAATCCCTATGTTCATGTTTAAGATTGTCATTTTCATTTTGTTTTCTGTCATCATTTTTTCTTCATGTGCATGCAACGGTGCGGTCCGCAGCTGCAGCCGTAATCAAATAAATTCTTATCATGTTTCCGTGTGCGAACGGCCAGCTGCGTGACCGTTATCAATTTATGTTTTCAAAAGTCATATTATTCGTTCAAAGTTTTTTCTCGTCAAGTCATGCTTTCAGTGTCACAAAGTTATTAGTTTTTTCATGTTTAATTGTTTTAGTGTGGTGACACTGAAAGCCCATTCGTACAGTTCTCGTTGCATTTTGTATGTCCGTTAATGTAAAACTCGTCCCTTTTTCACACGACCTCCGAGGTGCACGGTTGTTCTGTGTTCAGTCAGTCGTCAGTATTTAATTCATTTTTTAAAATAGAATTCATAGAGTCATAGACATTCAATTTCATTCTATACAATACATTCATCAATCATCATTCAGTTAATCATTTTGTGTACATCATCTGTGAATTGCCTTCTGTAAGTATCGTTCAGTCATTTGTTTTAGTTCTTTCATTAATATTATTCCCCAATTCAGGGCGTTCAAAGAGATACTTACAGAAGCACGTGAATTTTTGCCATTTGTGATTTGCATGTACACTGTGATTTATTCGTCTGAGTTCTAAAGGTAATCAGCTGACGAGCTGCATATTATTATTTATTATATTAGTCATTCATATTCTAGTCAGAAACTTTGTATTATTATTATTTGTATTATTTGAATTATTGTATTATCGTTAAAAGCCAAGAGGCTACATATTATATTTATATCATACTTAATTATTAGAAACCTGCCTGGCAATTTATTATTTTATTTATTTAATTAAAAGAAAAACAAATTATTATTATCATTGCTCAATAAAAAATTACAGAACTGCCAACACACATTGTTTTTTTTTCATTTTATATTCTACAAGCATATATGATTCAGTCGTGAAGGCACAACTTATTTTATATTAATAAGAGCTGACAGCGGCAACATTTTGGTGACCTCGACGTGATATATTATTATTTATATTATATATGCTTTGTGTGGCAGTTATTAAAGTTGATTAAAAACTTATAGTCAAACATTAATCTCTAGTTATTAATTTAAAAATTGTTCAGGTTGGTTTACATCATATTATTCATCAAGTAATTTGAAAATTGTCATTATTACATTTAAATATTTGATTTATTATTTGTGATCCATTATTATTAATATTTTTTGCTATCATAAGAACAAAATTGTTTCCACATATAGGTGATTTAATATTATATTCTAACATCAAGGCATCACAACAACTCAAATTCATCTCAAGACATCATTCAACCTAACAACACCATGCCAACCAATCCAGATCCAAATGAGCTGCGCAAATGGAAGAGAAAGATTGATACACTATGTGCCATCATCGAAGACCATTTTGCTTTTGCTTCTCAATACACAAGTGAATCAAACAATATTTCCCAGGTCAAGGTAAGACTTGAGGAAATTAATGAATTTTCTGAGAAATTTGAAGAATATCAAGCTGAGTTAGAAATGTTAGATGAGAAAAAGGATGCTGACTGGATCAATGTTCGAAGATCATTCCGAAACCGATTGTGTGATGTTAAGGCTGCGTTACTCAAAATCATAGATGATCATGTCATCCATCCAGACAATGTATCTAGTCCATCAATGAGCTCAGCCAGATCTCAACAACATTTAAATACATTCAACTCTATGAGGTATCCACCATGTGCTTTTCCTACATTCAGTGGTGATTGGCAGCAGTGGTCATCCTTTATAGATACATTCAATTCAATGTTTCATAATGAGCATTCAAACTTACCGCTAGTTCAACGCTTTCATTACTTAAGGTCATGCCTTGCAGGGCAGGCTAGTGATGTTATCAAATCTATTCCTACTACTGCAGAACACTTTCAATATGCTTATGATCTGTTGGTAAATCGGTATGAAAACAAGAGTGCTATAATCCAGTCACACATTCGCTCACTACTCGAGACACCCAAGGTGGTCTCACCGTCTTGTAGTGAACTGCAAAAGCTGCATCATCATGTCACATCTAACATCAATGCCCTCAAGTCCTTGCAGCAACCAGTCGAACAGTGGGATGCATGGTTGGTCACTCTTTTATGTAGTAAAATGGATAGTGCTACAGTAGGGGAGTGGTATCTACAGTATAAGAGTAAAGATCTGCCTTCCTACGTGGCTGTAGAACAATTTCTAGCTAACAGAATAACAGCCTATGAGGCAGGGGATATGAATTGTCTGTCAAGTGAACCAAGAAAAATGTCAACAAAAAGTTCAAATAACAAAACATATGAAAAAAAGGCATTGTTTGTAAAATCTAAAGAAAAAGGTTTTGGCAAATGTCCGTTATGTACTGAGCATCACAAATTATATGCTTGCAGTAAATTCAACAACATGAGTACAAATGATAGAAGGAACTTTGTGATGAAATCAAGGCTTTGTTTCAACTGTCTCAACTTTGGCCATCAAGTTTCTTCTTGTTATTTTCCTCCATGTCCTCGTTGTGGGGAAAAGCACAATTCAAAGCTTCATGAGGAACAAGCAAACACCAATAATCAAGATGCTTCTATCGCCAATGATGTTGACAGCCCTGAACCCCATGCAACAGCTATGTACACTGAAATATCAGCTCAGGAAACTGAAAATCTAAATGTTATTTTAGCCACTGCCATTGTCAATGTATGCGACACTTTTGGGCGCATGCATTCATGCCGAGCTGTCCTGGACTCTGGTTCTCAACTAAATTTCATTACAAATTCTTGTGCTAAAAGGCTTAACTTGTCTACTGCTTCGCATACACTTAACATTGTTGGAGTCTCTGCTATGGCATCAACAGCCAAACAACTCCAAGATACGATTATGACCTCACGTTTTGGTGATTTCAAGACAACTATCAAGTTCTACTCTCTGCAGACTATAGTCAGTGCCTTGCCTTCTCAGGTGCTCATTCGGGACAACTTGAAAATGCCTCATAACATACTCAACCAGTTGGCAGATCCAAACTTCCATAGTCCTGGTCCTATAGATGTGTTATTAGGTGCTGATATATTCTTTGATGTACTTTATGGTGAAAAGTTTCCATTATCAAATTTAGCTTGCTTGCATCGTACCAAGTTGGGATGGATAGTAACAGGCAAAATCTCAACTTTGTCAACTCCTCATACATTACCAAACCTCATGATACAGAATCAATCTGCATTATCGTTCTTCACGTCAAAGACCAATCAACGTATTCTTGAAGAGTTCAAAGCCGAAGAGCATTTTCAATCAACTTTTCGTCGGCATTGCAGTGGGAGATTCATAGTGAAGCTACCAATGGCACAAGATCCCAAGGTGCTTGGTGATTCATTAGACATGGCTCAAAAAAGATTTTTAAATCTAGAGAGACGACTTCAAAAAGATAAAGTACTCACTGAACAATACGATAAGTTCATTGCTGAATATATTGCCATGGGTCATATGGAATTAGCATCACCGGCCATTCATAAGCCTACGTATTACCTGCCACATCATCCAGTGTTTAAGACGGACAGCACCACTACAAAGATGCGCGTTGTATTTGATGGCTCTGCGGCATCCAAGTCAGGACTGTCACTGAATGACATTATGCTCAGGGGCCCGAAAATGCAACCAGATATTTTTAACATATTGTTGCGTTTTCGATTACATCGCATTGCTTTAACTGCTGATGTGGAAAAAATGTACCGACAGGTGCTAGTGTCCGATGAAGACTGTGATTTGCAGCGCATTGTATATCGTTCGCAACCTGAAGAACCACTAAGGCATTATAAACTCAAGACAGTCACATATGGAACAAAATCAGCCTCTTTCCTGGCTACACGCTGTCTCCATGAGCTTGGTGCGCTCATTGAAAACACACCCATAGGCAGAATCATATGTCAGGATTTCTATGTAGATGACCTGATAAGTGGGGGTGACACTGATGAAGAATGTTTTGATATCCATAAACAAGTTCACTCAATCCTTGGTACTGCTGGATTTCCGTTGCGTAAATGGTGTTCAAGTTCGTCAACCCTCCTTAACAGCCTTCCACATAATCAGAAGGATCCAAACTTCATGATAAATCTTACTGAAACTGAGGTGTTGAGCGCGTTGGGACTTCTTTGGCAACCATCTATAGATAGCTTTCGGTTTGCAATGAAAAACTGGAATGCTCCTCAACACATAAGTAAGCGCACACTCCTATCAGATATAAATAGTGTCTATGATCCGCTTGGACTATTATCATCAGTGTTGATTAAAGGCAAGATTTTTATCCAGCAAGTATGGAGTCTTAAAGTAGGTTGGGATGACATTTTATCAGAAGAGATAAGATCAAAATGGTTAAAATTTTATTCAAGTTTGGTTGCACTCAATGGATTGATTATACCAAGACTAGCATTACTACCTGAGTCAGACAGTTATGAACTTCATGGTTTCTGCGATGCATCCCAACATGCCTACGGTGCTTGCATTTACATTCGATCCAGTAAGCAAGATGGTGATGCTGAAGTTAAATTGTTTACGGCTAGATCTCGGGTTGCGCCAATTAAAACCACCACTATTCCCCGTCTGCAGTTGTGTGGCGCGTTATTGCTGTCAGAGTTAGTAAACGAGATTAAAGATGAATTTTCAAATATAAACATTAAATTGTCTACAGAAAACATACACCTGTGGACAGATTCAACTATTGTTCTACCGTCAAAATCATTGATTACCAAGCTAATTTTTAATTATGAGCATATTCGGCTCATGCATGCAGGACCACAGGCATTGCTTGCCCACGTAACACTGAACTATTGGCCAATCCGGGGAAGACAGATTGCAGCACAAATCGTCCGAAAATGTGTAACCTGTTTCCGAGCGAGCCCTCAATTTACTCCACCATTAATGGCGCCTCTGCCCAGCGTACGCGTTACTATTGCTCGACCATTTGCCAATAGTGGAGTAGATCTGTGTGGCCCAATATTCGTTCGCAGTGGGCTGAGAAAGGTATCACCGACAAAAAGTTATATTTGTGTGTTTATCTGCATGGTTACTCGTGCCATCCATTTAGAATTAGTGTCATCACTGTCTACTGAAGATTTTTTGGCTGCACTATCTCGTTTTATGTCACGGAGAGGTCAATGTACGGACCTTCACAGCGACAACGGCACAAACTTTGTAGGTGCAGACCGTACACTCAAAACATATTTCAAGGCAACTGTAAACAGCAATAAAGTACATGATTTTCTTACTATGCGAGAAATTAAGTGGCACTTTATACCACCTGCTTCCCCACACTTTGGAGGGTTGTGGGAGAGTGCAGTCAAGTCAGCTAAAAAGCATCTTCTTCGAGTGTCGAAGGGAGTGTTGCTAACATTTGATGAAACCAGAACTTTACTATGTCAAATTGAAGCTGCATTAAACTCTCGGCCTCTATCTCCACTTTCATTAGATCCCAACGACTTCAATGCACTCACACCAGGGCACTTCTTAATTGGTGGTCCACTCATGCTACCACCTGAGCCCGATGTATCATCCATACCACAGAACCGCTTAAAACGATATTCACTTATGAGGCAGCAAATGCAGCTCTTCTGGAAGCGGTGGTCACAAGAATATTTGCCTCAACTCCACCGAAGAGGTAAATGGACCAAGCCGAATCGAAATTTTTGTGTTGGTGATCTTGCAGTCTTGCGTGACGACAACATGCCACCCTTTAAATGGCCATTAGTCCGCGTAGCAGCAGTTCATCCTGGGGCTGATGGTGTTGTTAGGGCAGTGACCGTGCGAAATTCCACTGGGTCTGAATTTCGACGTCCAGCAATCAAGTTATCCCTACTACCCACCGAAAAGGATCACGATGATGAAGATTAGGGATTTAAAAAAAAATGTTTTTCATTATTATTGTTACTATTTTATAAATTATGTTGTTATTATTTAGTTGGGCTGTGTTAGCCACATCTCTTAAAGATGAGTTATTTTTCATTAGTCATATTAGTATTATTCAAGATTCATGTTTAAAGAATGCATACTCCTCTGTCAGCTTCCGATTATTTAATTTGTTTAGTATATGATATGTAAATTTTGAAAGATAGGTACTTTCAAAGGGGGGAGTATGTTCATGTTTAAGATTGTCATTTTCATTTTGTTTTCTGTCATCATTTTTTCTTCATGTGCATGCAACGGTGCGGTCCGCAGCTGCAGCCGTAATCAAATAAATTCTTATCATGTTTCCGTGTGCGAACGGCCAGCTGCGTGACCGTTATCAATTTATGTTTTCAAAAGTCATATTATTCGTTCAAAGTTTTTTCTCGTCAAGTCATGCTTTCAGTGTCACAAAGTTATTAGTTTTTTCATGTTTAATTGTTTTAGTGTGGTGACACTGAAAGCCCATTCGTACAGTTCTCGTTGCATTTTGTATGTCCGTTAATGTAAAACTCGTCCCTTTTTCACACGACCTCCGAGGTGCACGGTTGTTCTGTGTTCAGTCAGTCGTCAGTATTTAATTCATTTTTTAAAATAGAATTCATAGAGTCATAGACATTCAATTTCATTCTATACAATACATTCATCAATCATCATTCAGTTAATCATTTTGTGTACATCATCTGTGAATTGCCTTCTGTAAGTATCGTTCAGTCATTTGTTTTAGTTCTTTCATTAATATTATTCCCCAATTCAGGGCGTTCAAAGAGATACTTACAGAAGCACGTGAATTTTTGCCATTTGTGATTTGCATGTACACTGTGATTTATTCGTCTGAGTTCTAAAGGTAATCAGCTGACGAGCTGCATATTATTATTTATTATATTAGTCATTCATATTCTAGTCAGAAACTTTGTATTATTATTATTTGTATTATTTGAATTATTGTATTATCGTTAAAAGCCAAGAGGCTACATATTATATTTATATCATACTTAATTATTAGAAACCTGCCTGGCAATTTATTATTTTATTTATTTAATTAAAAGAAAAACAAATTATTATTATCATTGCTCAATAAAAAATTACAGAACTGCCAACACACATTGTTTTTTTTTCATTTTATATTCTACAAGCATATATGATTCAGTCGTGAAGGCACAACTTATTTTATATTAATAAGAGCTGACAGCGGCAACACCCTAATTGAACCATTGGCAATGTTTGTATTATAATACGAAGAAAATAATTTATATGATTAGAAGTAAATAAATGATAAAGCCCAAAAACTTCCTAATTGGGTTCAAATTAAAGCATTTTTGTTGGACTAATTTTGGAAACTCCCGGGAAGGTCTTAATAGTATATAATGGGAACCTAATGTTAGGATTTAAGTGGGCATTTAACGGTCGGCACCCGGGCTGGTCTTAATAGTATAAAATGGGAACCTCCTGTTAGGATTTAAGTGGGCATTTAACGGTCAGCGCCCGGGCTGGCCAATGCTGTTAGGGATGATAGTGATTATACTTTTTTTTCAGAATATACAGCAATGTTCGATGTCTGAAGACGAACTAGACTCATCATGTATTGCTGATAATGGAAGTGACACTGAGCACACGTCTGACGTAATAACGCCAGAGTCACAAAGTTTTGTTATACCCTCAACATCAGCTTCTTGTAAACCTAAGTTATTAGGAAAGCGTCCGTCATTAGGAAAGTTACCACCAAAACGTATAAAATTAGGATTACCGTGTACTAAACAACTTCAGAATAGATTTGAAAATTCAATCAACAAATTACAGAAGATAGCAGAAATGGCTACTACAGACACGGAAGACCAATATGACACATTTGGCAAACATCTTGCTTCTCAAATGCGAGAGCTCCCTTTGAAAAGTTTCATTATACTTCAAAGCAAGTTTCAAAACCTTATAACTGTAACGTGCCAACCACTTCAACTCAATATTGATGGTATTTTGAATTAAAATGACAAGTTGATGGTATAATGATAGTTTATTTGTATTTATTTAACACGAAAAATATTCTAAGTCCAAATAATTAAATTATAAAATTGTGGTAAACTAAATCAGGCGTACCTACATTATCATAATAGTAATACATTATAGTTTTTGGCTTAAATTGAGAAGTATGTAATAAGTAATAACTATAATAATTAATAGGTAAATAATAAAGGAGTAGAAGCGCACTTGATCGACTTTACAATTACTACTATGAAAGAAATGCACATTTATAAAATTTGATAGAGCACGTAAAACTCGATAGTGTGGTCCTTCGGGAATGTGTTACGTCAGGTGTCTTGGCGTACACATATTTTTGGTCCTTCGGGCCGGATTAACTAACAAACCGCGACATTAGAGTGGTGTCTCAAGTTCTGCTTGAATTTGTAGTTGTAAACAGTGACACAGAAAATTTGTCAATATCTGTGCGTACTGTGGTAGTTGCGTTCGAAATTAATTCATACTCATATTCTAATTACAAACTCCGTAAATTGTTGTAAAAAATGGTCACTCCTCCTTCAGTGTCAATATCTGTGCGTACTGTGGTAGTTGCGTTCAAAATTAATTCATACTCATATTCTAATTACAAACTCCGTAAATTGTTGTAAAAAATGGTCACTCCTCCTTCAGTGACTTATGCAGAGGCAAAAGCACGGGCTGTTCGTGCAATTGCAAAAATTACATCATTTGTCGCTGCAGCCGGTGAATATAAAGCCGATCGTTCTAATGCGGGCAAACATGCTAAAGTAGCTAAGATGTTGTCTGAGTTAAATGACATTCGTCGAATTGCTGAAGACGATTTCCAAGTCATGGAATCGTCTGTTAGTAAACGGTTAGCCCCCATGGAAGTCGTAGATAATAAAGAAAGTCTGAACCTCAGTGCCGAATTTGACAATCTGTATTATGAACTCGCCACCTTTGCTGATGTTTATCACATTTCATTATCTCCTGGCATGGATACATCCTCAGCTCAGTTAGCAGGTAACCAAACAACAGGCTCCAGTAATTTATCACATTACCAACTGCCCAAACGGAGTTTTCCTACGTTTTCTGGAGTGCTTATTGAATGGCAAGGTTTCGAAGATCTTTTTAAATCAATCTTGTCTCACGCCCCTGATCTTACCAATGTTGAGCATTTTGAAATTTTAAAGACCTCGCTGCAAGGTGAATTAATAGGTAAATAATAAAGGAGTAGAAGCGCACTTGATCGACTTTACAGTTACTACTATGAAAGAAATGCACATTTATAAAATTTGATAGAGCACCTGCTAGATAAACACCCTTCAAAAATGTTACAATAATATTTAAAAGCCCGTGACTATGATAAATCTATTCCAAATTAAATGATACAGTTAGATCAAAATATTCGTTATGCAGTAATGCAATATATGAGTTAAGATCATAACATGTATTCAAAAAATTTGAATCAAACTCAACTTAACCCCTAACTCAAAAAAATACAGTAAAATTTAAAAGTGGGACTAAATAAAGAAATAGCTAACAACACCAATCAAACAGAAGAACTATACAGTTGCAAAACACTAAAACAATATAATTTTAAATACAAATATTTTTATGATACATAAATATTAGGATTAAGACGTACCTACCTAATATTATAACAAAGTAGTTATTTAAATAAAATATTTAATAATACCATGTACAATAATGAAGGTGAGTAATTTATAATTTTTTTTTTTAATTTTCTAGAAACATACATTTTACCACCCATTTAAGTATCAATGATTGATTGATGTTGTTAGCTAAATTAACTTAATTGTATAATATTTGTTAAAATTAAAAAAAAAAACATTAGCATGTAATATTTTCATTTAACATATTTTTAGTTTACTATATTATTGGGATTAAGTTTTTTCTGGAATGCAGATTGTCAGACTTGATTTTTAATCTTCTTTGAAATTAACTTGAGTAGTTGAGTATTTACTATCTAATAAATTAAAAAAGGATAAATATAACCAAATTATTTAACGGTAAAAAAAATATGTTTACATACTTAATTCATTTTGTAGTCTCTCCCAACTATTAAAATAGTAAATGGGAAACAAAATGTTTATTTGTCATTGTTCTCGTTTGGAAAATGTAATGGAATATAGAAAATTATGTGACTTCAATATCTATCTCCAAATATATTTGTAGTAAATACAAATCAACTTAGTTCTTAACAATAATTACTATGCCAGAATGTGAAATTTGAATATATGCAACTTATAAGTACTTCTGAATAGAGAACATTATATTTTTAAGTATGTATATGATGTAGATAGGCAACCATCTTGTTGTGTCCAAGTAGATGGTAATAAGTAAATGAATAATATATGGGGTTGTATCAGGTTTGTGCTATGGTTTATTGGTGTCGGCCAATAATTTTAAGAGTATAACAAATTTTGTGTTTTCAAACTTTGAATAACATTTATTGGTGGTGTAAATGAATGAACAAAACTGATTTAACTGAAAATAAAATTTAAATAAAAACTGTTAAGACGTCATAATAATGTATAATAATGTATGTACAATATAATGTATTAATCATAACAATTTTTCTACGTATACATTTTAAGAAAACTTACCAATAAACTTAATGTAGGTACAAATGTTGTGCTTTTATTCATGTATTATCAAGTTTACATCACACTTCATAATATAAACTTAAATACATATATTTTTGATTGAAATACCAAATAAAATACATAAATATATCCCAAATTACGACTTAGGTATAATGTAATTTTAAGTTCAATGGAATATTTTTGACAAACTTAATGATTCAACAACTATTTTGTTAGGTATATTATGCTATTAAAGAAATTTAAACTGTCTGTCTACTTATAATGGTTTACAACATAAACTAACTATACATATGTATAGTTCAATTATTAATTACATTATACATTTAATATTTAACTATTTAAGTAATAGTGCTAAGCTGCATGGCCACGTGGTTTAGTATTTTACTATACAAGTTTTAAAGTTTATTATCAGTATTCAGTTTATTACATCCGATTGATTTTTCTGTACCATTATCATTAATTAATTAATATGATATAATATTTTAATCAATTCTATTATCTTATAAAACTGTGGTCATAGATAATGATAAAGGTATCGCCAAATATCGGTAATAGTAATAAGATTATTATTGTTCTATGGTAATATGGAGGGGATCTGGTGCGACAGCCAATGTCAACAAAACGTAGCATTGGTCTACCTAACCTAACTACAATATGGAAATTTGATTTATCATCAATAATCAATAAATCATGATTTGTTTAATTTGAAAATACTTTTATCATGGTTACGATTTAAGATAGTATTTTAAAGTAGTATTTAAAATAGTATCTTACATCGTGATCTAGTTCAGGTTTAGGTTATCAATGAATTTTGGATTTATATTTGAGGTTGTGTTTATGTTTAAAATGGTTAAATTATAGATCATATACCACAGCGTATGATTTTGTAGCCGATATAGCGACGAGTCACCGAATTAGGTGATCGATGTACGCATGTCGCGTAACTCCTCGCATAATTATCCATAGGTACAATAGATATCTGTGGATAAATCAAGGTGTATAAATTGATCAATACACCTTGGGATAAATATATAAGAAGTTACGTAGCGCATGCGCATATCCATGACAAATAAGTTTGTCATGCGCATATCGACCCTCTAATTCGCGACTCGTCGCTGATATTGGCAACGTATTTTTGTATTGATTTAATACGCTGTAGCAGTGAGGCTCCATCCATAGTATATGATCTAAGGGTTAAATTTGATTTTGATGATATCTCGCTGTTATCAAAATCGGGAAATCTCACCAACATGATGTTTGCATTGAACATTGATATATCATCATATTATAGTTCAATGGATGTTAGACGATAACTTGGTTACCAGTATTATGAAAACGTTTACCGCCACATAGGCGGGTTCGCAACTAAAGATAATATATATGTATTATCTGTGGTCGCAACGTATTGACAACAATATTACAATCTAAAAATAATATTTTGTTATCGCATATTCACATGGGAATGTAAGATTTTTTATAAATATATTGCATAGTATTATAGGTTATAACTTATAACTTAATACTTATAAAAGTATTGTTATTATTTGTCACTATAATACAACAAACGACGTGGTTTGTATTATTATCGTTATTGTCATAATATTCTTTACGACGTTACTTACTATACGTTACCTACTATATTTTTTTTTTAAATTTAAATAAATATGGATCCTCTTGGGCATAGATATGTAAAAAGTGGAAAAGGACCCAACAATACAATGTAAGTAAATATACCTACCTTAATATACAAAATATAGGTACTTAGTAGTTAGTACCTACGACCTACCTACCAACACGTATGCATAATTTTTCTAGGTAAGTCATAGGTACTCATGAAATTACTTAGTTCAATAAATTGCAGCTGCAATATATAGATGTATTTTAACGCAATAAAATTGCTAATTTAGCAACTAATCCAGATCTATAGTTATGTTGTATGATATGATATTAATATAATAATATAATTAAAATATATTTTGTAAGAACTATAAACTATTTGAATTCCAATCAGATATTTCAAATGTGCTTATGCAAAAACTCATTTTTGTGGAACCAGAGCGAAAAAAACCGTTTCCGCAGATCTTGTTTTAATTAAGCCCCATAACCACGAAAAACAGCAAAGAGATGAACAAAACGGCCTCAATGATTTTAAAGCATCTTTAAAAAGAAAAGCTACTAATCAACTTTGACCACTTAATTCGGTCTATGAATCAGAAGCAAGAAGGTAATTATGTATATATATATTTTTTTTAAATTTTTATTAGAGAATAATATACAATCTACACACAAGGGCATAATAAGAATATGTGCTACAATAAATTTAGAACATGGATAGGGTGAGGGAAGAAACTATCCGGTGATCGCACTAGCTTAATTATGTATATGACATCAAAATATTAAAATAACTATTTATTTATATTTGACAAACTTAATTCTTTTCAGAACTATGATTTATAGTAGGTACATATATTTATTTATATTTTACTATTGAAGGTATTTAGGTATACATAATTTAGTATATAAAATAATTTAATAGGCACCTTGCACCTACTATTATTTCTAATTTCTGAGGTTATTAATATATTATTTTCAGTAACAAGGTAGGTAGTTAAGTTTACCGAATCCTAATAGCATTAATGTTTTTATTTTATTTATTATAAAAGATCTTGATCCTTGTCCTTTATCACAATTATGTGTTTAACCCAAAAACATGATTTGTATATCAATATATTTTTTGCTTTAGTCAGAATCTAATGTTAGCTAATATACAACACCCACTTAAGTGAATTAATTTTTAATTAAGGTTTCCAGTCTGTGCTGCTGTTTATCCATGGAAAACAGCAGAAACATTAATGAGACGAGCTAGGAAGACATCTCTACCTAGTATACCAGACAACTTATATGATCTAAGTGTATTATTTGAAAATGGTCAGTTAGAACGATATTCATCAAATAACGAGTTATTATACATAGGTGATAATTTTTATATTTAAATATTTAATTAACACAGATGATTGAATAATTTTTAATATTATTAATTTAGGTTGTGTAAGAGATATTCATGGAAAATATTCATTAATCTTTTCATGCCAATCTCTTGTCAATATGGTATTGATGCTAAACTGCACGCCGATGCTACCTTTAAAGTAGTCCCTTCCAAACCACGGGCAAGGCAACTTTTGGTGATCCATTGTATGGTTGACAACTTTGTAAGAAAATATAGCCCCCCTCAACACACACACACACAAATATGAATGATTTATGTATACAATTTTTTATTTTTTTTTAAATATAATTTTAAAATTACTATTTCAAACAATATACTTAGTTGATTATTTAAAATATAAATTAGTACTAATTATTTGTCCTCAACTTGTATATTTCAGAGCTTGCCTGTTGCCTACGCTTTAATGGAGACAAAAACTGCAACATCATATGATCAAGTAATTGTTTTTATCAAGAACAATATACTTCCTAATTTCCGACCTACCAGCATTATGACGGATTTTGAACCTGCCCTAAGGGATACACTAACATCTTATTTTAATACCGCACAACCTTACGGATACTGGTTCCACCACAACCAAGTAATTTTTTCCCTAATTTATGCTTGGTTTTCAAATGTATTACTTGAGTGTTATAATTGTTTTTTTTATAGGTGGTATGGAAAAGCATGAAACGTTTTTGTTATTTGGAACTAGTTAAAAGTAATGATAAAGCAAAGAAATGTTTAAGAATGGTTATGGCTTTACCACTTTTGCCATCACATAAAATTTAAGAGGGATTTCAAATCATAAAAGCTTATGCAACCAGATACAACATTAACATGACGAGACTTTTTGATTACTATAATAGGTTATTTGTTATATTTATTATTAGGTATATCATTGCATGACCTCAGACTTATTTTGAGGAGTAGGGGATTTCTTATATTATGCTAAACAAAAAGTTAACATAGGGGAAGAATCATAAAAGAACATTTAATTCTACCAATATAAATTATTATTTGTTTCAATATGTCATTTATGTGTTTATAGTTTGTTAATTGTTTTCTTAGCTTTCATTAATACATAACTAAAACATAACTTGCTTTATTTTTTATTGGACATATTATACAATTATTGAATATAATTTAACATTAAGCTACCATAACATAATATATTTAATTTGTATGTATTTATATCCTAAGGTATTGGTTAAGAAATGTTGGTGTTGATATACTTTCTGTCTATAAGAAAGCACGTAGAACAAACAATAATATCGAGTCGTTCCACAACAAATTGAAATTAACTTTTCAAGTTGCTCATCCAAATATTTGGAGTTTTTTGGTTAAGTAACAATCTTTTATATTAAATAATTAATAAACTATTAATCAATTTACAAAAAATATTTTTTTAGAAAATCTTTGTAAAATAAACGAAACTTATTGTGTTGTGGCAAAGCAATTAGAAGATGGCCAAACTCCTACAAGAAATACCTGGTGTCAATATTTGTATAACAGTTCACGTATTAAGTTTAATACACAACAATTAGATCTTGGAATTATTTCCCTGGAATGTTTTTTACTTCGTTCCTCACACAATGTTGCTCGATATGAAGAACAAATGAGAAATTGGACTCAAAATATTGTAGATAATGGTCAAATAAATGAAAATCTGCTCATATTGACAGTTCAAATGATGATAGCGAAATAGATGAAAAAATGAACAATGGCGAAGATTCATCATCGAGCACTGAAAGTGAATCAACTACGTCTCAGAGAAATTTGTCTGCATCTAGTTCTAACAGTTTAGAAAACAATGATGCAGGGGCGTCATTTCAGTTTTTCTTAGGGTTTGGCAAAATTTTTACCGGTCCTTTGATTATTTAGTTAAAATAATATGTGTATTGCCTAGTTAGCCCAATTTTTATTTCAATCATTATTTTTATACTTTATAATTTATATAACACAAACTGTAGCCGCTTTTGTTAACATACTACTTATTAAAACAGAAATACCTAATCTTAACTCACATCAACATATTATTATAATCTTCAATGTAGGTAGTTTACTCTGAAAACCAAATAATTAATAATATTTGTATACTATTAATAATAGACTGGGTCGCTTAAAACAACAGAAAAATGTGAAACCAACTTAAATATTAAAATTAAAATTATACAAAGAGCAGTGGACAACATAATTAAGTATAATCTTAATACAACTACGGCTAAAATTTATGATTTGTATACCTGTAAAAATCATGAATTACATGATAAAATAATTGCAAACATTAAAGATATAAATATAGAAAAAAGAAACACATCATTATGGCACATACAAACAGAAGTAACACCAATGACACAACCTCCACCAACAACAAAAATAAGCCCTACATTGTTCTATGGACTGTAATTAAACTATTTATTATTATTTTTTTTTTATTTAATTAAATTTAATTTCTTAATCATAATTTCAGCTCCACATTTGATTATTTTTTGAAGCAACAATTGACCAGAGATGGGTTGTCATCATTACCTATAATTTTTTTCTAAAATAACAAAAAACAAGAAAATTTGCATGGCATATCAAGTTTAATTTTATCAAGTTACTACTTATCATATAACACAGTTCCTTATTATTTTGATTTTAAAGGTATTTATTCTTATGGACCTAAGTCATATTGTTTTTTTATTTATACAACAAAGTTAACTGTTATTTTTATTTAAATTGTTACTACTTATCATATAACACAGTTCCTTATTATTTTGATTTTAAAGGTATTTATTCTTATGGACCTAAGTCATATTGTTTTTTTCTTTATACAACAGTTCCTTACAATTTTGATTTTCAAGGTATTTATTCGTATGGACCTAAGTCATATTGTTTTTTATTTATACAGTAAAGTTAACTGTTATTTTTATTTAAATTGTTACTACTTATCTTATAACAAAGGTACCTTTTATTTTTTATTTTAAGTTTTGGGTGCATTGGTGCTTTTAATAAAACATGTTACTACAACAATTTTTGCTATTGTTTTGGTGAAATTATAATTATAAAATGTTATAGTTCTGACATAGTAGTTTGTATGTTCAACTTAAGTCTTTAATTTATTGTTGATTTTAAAGGGGAAAATGTTCATGGTTAATTACCCAACTGGAAATTAAATTATGCTGAAGAAATGACCAAGTTCCAACCTTTACTGATTTAAATATTTTTTATATCACAGCCATGTACAGTTGAGTTTAAAACAAATGTTTTAAATTAACTAAAGTATTTTAAAATAGGTAGTGTTCATAATAAATAATTCATATTATATACATACCGAAATTTTGTGCGACTCAAACTAAAACCAATAGGAACACTTTCAGGAAACATTCAATTAAAAATTGAAGCAATATCAGTGCATGATGATGCTGAGAAGTTACTGGTGACCATTTTCATAACCCATATCAATTCAGCTCTTTTAGCACAATCGTTAGGATTAAATAACTTCAAAGTAGATTTTACTGTAGCTTCTAGCGGTTGGTCATCAGATGTAGTAGCGGTAGAAAGGCGCAATTGATTTAATGCAAGTTTAGTTTTAGAATGTTCTTTATGTTTACTACTGTTAGAATGTTGATTAAGGGCTTGAAAACCTTTTAAAGTAACATTCATTGTAGTTGAACATATCTTACAAAATATTTCATGGGCAGATTTACGGGCAGCCCATTGATTAATTTGGTGACCATTACAATCTTTTTTTATCATCCAGTCTTCCCTAATTTGTCAATTTCTACCCATAGTGAGTGGCAGTTGAATAAAATAAATAAAGGTCACACTTCAAATAAGTATAAAATATATAATAACAATAAACTTTAAAATATAGTCAACAAAATAGGTATACAACTATTGAACTATACTCAATTGTAACTCATAACTCCATGACATAATAATAATTTACTTTTAATTAATTATATTTTGACGTTACTCAACAATATGACAATACTAACAATCTTTATCTGGGTATTGTTTAGTGTTTCCCTAGAAATTATCATAAATAGAAGTAGTCTATAATTATAATAAAATAGTTCAGCGTTTCCTGATAACGGATCATAAAATTAAATTATATATTAATATGATATCGAGTAAAATAATGAGTGCTCAGAGCTCAGCACTGCAGATTATAAAACTTCAACAATATTTTTCAGTGACAATATCACGATTTTGACCACGGTTGTACCACAGAACAAGGTTAGTACAGGTTGTACCTTAGGTATATATTAAAACCATGATTTTGACCAATAATAATTATTATACAGTGTAGCCTCATAAAAAAATAATTTGGGGAAAAAATCAAAAATATGACAAAAATACAAAATTATGCACCGACGTAATTATACATATTAGGTATGTGTGTATAATGAAGATAAATTATAATTACTAATTAAGTTATTCTCAAAAAAAAAAAAAACTAATTAAGTTTGGAACAAAAAAAGTGACAAAAGTGATTAAACTTCAAATAAGTGACCAAAAGTGACTGATTTTTTAATAAATGACTAAAAGTGATAAAAGTGACTAGCTTCCAGCCCTGCCAACTATTTTTTGAACATAACGCTATAAAAACTTAAGTAGGTATTTTTCTCAAGTCTAAGAAATTATTTTTTCAGATAGAACGGAATAAACAAAAATTATTATGTGCAATTTCTATATGTACGATTTAGCTTTTATCTATTTTTTTCTTGGATGGTCCTTTAATAATATGTTTGGTTTTATATCAGCTGCATGTCAATGTTCTTCTTCAAAATGTATGATTTTCGGTATTTTCAAATCGGTACTTAATATTGCTGCACAATTCATTGATGATTTTTTTGAACATTTCCATCGAATGATACTTTGGCATTTCTTTTTTTATATAATACCCGTGTAGTGCAATTTTGTCATTTCCTATATTTAGTTTTAGAAGTTCCATGGTTAAACACTTGCGTACAACTAGAAACTAAAATTAACTAAAATTAAACTGGATACCAGTAGCGGACTGGCCCGGTGTGCCACTATTCTATAGCACAGTGGGCCGGTACCAGATTGTAAGTGTTGGGTCGCTACTATGGCTAGCAAATATATCTATAATTTTTTATTTGTATTTGTATTTTTTTGTTATTTTATAATAATATGTTGGACGATTGGGCGGCTATTGCCCATCACAAACAACACAATATAGACACTAGTACACTATCAAATAAAAGATACCAAAAACATAATATATAGATATAAATTATAATTATATAATATGGATAATTAAAAATATTTTATTTCTGAAACGTAAAACGTTATTGTCTTGTCAAGGATTTTATGCCGTGTGGCGTGTTTAGCAACGCATTTGTAAAGTAGGTAGGTATAAATAAATTCAGATCGAATTAAAAGACTATGGCCAATTTGACTATTTTATTCCAGTCAAATTAGACGAATAATTAGGCTTTAGCTCGGAAAAATTAGCACCAAGCCAAATTTCGGTTTATATTGGATATTTATTTTGTAAGGTGGTTGAAATTCGTATACCGCACGATATGAGAGTAGGTAAGTGTTAATTTGTTAATTGTACTTACTCCTATTTTAATTCGCATTTAATCAATTTTTGGAAGCCACCAATTTATGGTGGATCATAATAATAATAATAAAGATAAGTAAAAAAATTAAAAACTGCACGCCCGCCCGTACATTGTGAAAAAAGTCCGCTTGGATGGTCGGACTAGCCAACTAATGCTCTCAATTCCGGTGGCGGAAATTACTGTGGAGCCGCACTATTTTAGGTACCATGTTATCACTTATCAAATATAATATAATGTATATTATAATATTATTATTTAATAATTAGTTTTTACTTTATTACACATATTTAATATATTAATAACATTATATTATTTATATTAATATATTAATTATTATTTTACTGTTTTATTACTGTTTTTTTTTATTGTCTTCAATGTCAAATATTGAAAAAAAAGTACTTCACAGTTCGTCAGTCAACTTTCAAATATAAGTGTACACATTTTATTATATTATTTTTTTGTTTCATGATTTATTGTGTATAATGTTGGTAAGTTTAGATTTTATAAAGTAATATTACTATACTATTTTTTTCTACTGAATTTACTTGTTCCATAGATATGTGAAGAATGTGGAAAATATTTTTCCAAACCTTATAATTTAAAGCGTCATCAAACAACTTCATCGGTTTGCAGTCTCCAAAATGAGTCAAATAATTTCTTAAGTACAAAGTAATTTTATAACTCTAAATTAGGTAGGTACCCGTATACAACTCTAGATGGTGACCAGAAATTATAGAGGTACCTACGCTAGGGAAGTGAAACTTGTGGGAAACTGTTTTAGTCCCCGGAAAACTGTAGTTTCAAAAAAATAAGCGATTTCAATGACTTTCACATATTATTATATTAGTAGACGTGTATACAATTCGATTTTACTATACTTTTAGTCAAGTTTCGGAAGCTGATTTAAAAGACTCCCTGCAATTAATGATGAGTTTAAAGATGAGCAATGCTCATTGAGCATGGTCACGGCCCCTTGACGGAACAGCTTACCAAGACATTTATGACACTCTCGAGAGAACAACGTTTACAGGGTTTCAATAACTACAGAAGACGGTCATGGCTGCCTGCTCATAACAGCTTTATCGATCTGACCGGAAACGTTGAAACTACGTGTTCACGATCGAACTAGTCTGTTCTTTTTTCGCTCTCTCACGCCAAAGACATGTCCCACGACGAAGAAACAACTACTCCGCCGAAGACCCTGCGATGGTAGGACCAAGAATTAAAATATTATCAGTCTTAGTATGTAGGTACTAAAATAAGTGAGATTTCCCAATCGTTCAAAGGAGACGAACCCTAGAACACATTTCCAGGGGTTTCACTGTATTTATATAATACTACTATATAAACTAAGGTGCCCTTTAGATTATTTAAATTATAATATTATATTTAGTATATTATATTTTAACAACATAAATTAAAAAAAAAATCCTACAGGAACTCGATATAATTTTTAATTATATAATATATATTATGATTAGGGACATTTTTTAATAAAAAATATTACTACATACATATCGGCATTATTATATACATGTCGGCAGTTGTATACAAGATTATACACTGCTATTATTGGCTCTTTTCCAAAACTAGAATTTACAATGATTAATTTAGAAAATAATTCGATATTATTCTCACGAAATGTACATAATCAACGTTTTTCTGTAACTTTTAATGGGTAGCTTATGTAAATTATTAAACAATAAGATCTATAATTTAGCATTCGGCGATTGCTTGAGTGTATTAATAAGCTAAAATATGTTTTATAGATTATTTCCGTTTCTCGTTTCGCGCTGTTTACCGGCATTTACAATCTTTTTGATGAAAATTATCTCACCACTCAACGACACTTCCACGGGCTCATACAATGGCGAACGGACCCAATTGGTACACAGTTCGACAGATATCTCCCCATATAGTTGAGTACTCATTGAACTTGATGAGTGATCAAACGCAGCGTCTACGGCTCCAATACAATGGAAAAACACAACGCGTCGTCTGACCCGCAATACTACAGCTTAGCACGGAACGACGACTTAGCGCAAATATGACGCGTCGTCGGTGGTGGTTTCAGCCGGGACACAGCATATGGCGGTGGCGAGCTGACACAACGTTCCGTCAAGCTCGGCCGCTAGGAAAAGACAACAAATTGAAATTCACGTACAGGTACAACTAGTGTACAACTGCCGGAGCGGCAGAGGAGGGGATACGCCACCACGCGAACTGCCGCGACCGATGCGCCGCAGCGAGGAAATATGTCGAAACTACGTTGGCGCGAAAACGCGTCCGTGTTCGAAGATGCCTTATGGCTGATACATTTATGAGTACAAAAATAGCTATTTTACATTATTATATTATATATTTATATGAATTATTAAATATATCATAACTCATTTACTATAGGTATACCATATTATAACGCATTTCTACAAAAAAAGTTGAAAACCTTAATAGGTACATTTAAATCACATTTAAATATTAACAGTTCTTATCCTCTATAGGGTAGGCAGCGAACCTAGCGGCATATTTAACTGGAGTAAAGTTTTCGATCACTTTATCTAAGACGGGCGAGTGGAAGTGTTTACACCTTATCAATCCACCTTGATTTAAATGTAATATTCATAATTTTCAGATTAGCAATATATGTCAATCATTTGCATTAGTTATGAATATTATAAATAGGAATGATACATTCAATAATTGTAAATTATTGATCACAACAACATTGGATAAATTCATAAAAAACAATATATATTATCAAGGCACAAGATGTATGTTCATGGACCATTTATATATACCATAAACATCATTAACCCCCTGGTTAAGTCGATGGTATTCAATTATGAATTGAGGAAAAGTGATTATATAATCAACCAATTGTATACATTAACCAGGGAGCAAATTCAAGTATATGTGCATATATATAAGGTAAATATATATATACATATTAAACTATTTATGAATAGTAAAAAATTCTTAATAATAATAATACTAATAATAACATTCTTATCCTAGATAAATACAAAAATGTTTAATTTAAATATTAATAATTATGATAATATTGGGTATTAATAGTTTCCCAATAAAATATGCATTAAAGTACCACAACTGTGGCACTGTTTCACTAAGTATACCTTATTTGAATTATAACATAAAAAAATTATAATACTTAAATTTAAAAAGCAATAAGCATAAGCAAATAATAAAAAAAAGGAATTAAAGACTAAAATATTTTTTTGTTCTTTATTATTAATACAATTTAAAAGTATTATAGTTGTGCATTGCTTAGCTAGCTTATAAGTGGGTAGCGACGATTCTTCATACTTGCAAAAACGTGAAGTTCTTCATCTAAATTAATTGTTGATTCCTCATCACTTTCAACAGCAACAACCAATAAATCATTGAGACGATCATCACACACAGTTAATCTTAAATATGATTTAATTTGCTTAAGTGATGAAAAAAAGCGTTCATTACAAGCGGTGGAAACTTTTAAGGTCATAAGAATGGTTATTATTTTTAATGTTTCAGAGTAACATTGAGGTAATTGGAGTAATATTTTTGAAATGGAATATAGATCATGTTTGGTATTTGAACCACCCGAAAGTAATTCTTTAGCACTCAGAAATTCAGCTTTTAGTTTGATAGTGTTAATATTAAAGTGCTTGTAATTTTGTAAAAAATCATCAAGGAATGGACATTTAAAATTAAAATATTCAGGGCTGGAGGAAAGGAAAATGCTGCTAGTTAAAATAATGCTGTTATTTGTATCATTGAAGCGTTTATCTAATTCATTAACAAATCTACAAAAAGAAAAATATATTTAGGTATATAAACAAATTCAATACTTAAAGTTTTAGATTATTTTAGTTGTAGGTACATACCTGTCAACTGCTGAAAAAAAAATGATTTTCAAGTCTTTACTCAACTCTGAAGTTTTGTTCTTATTACTTTGACCAACCGTAGTTTCAACATAAAATAGATTCTTATTCAAACAAGTCTTTCTTGGATTCTTTTTTTTATTTATGTTGATACCATTTTTAACAGCAATAGTTTTTGCTTTTTTTGTAACATCATCCCAAAATTCATCATTGCGCATATTATAAAGCTGTCGTTTTGTAGATTTAATTAAATCAATGGCGACTGGTAAAATAATAGAACAGTCTTGGAAAGCCTTTGATGCACAGTGGATGGCTCTAAGAAGTGATTCCATAGCGATATTTTAATAAATGACAGTGTATTCATTTCTTTTAAAATTCCTAGAGCTCTTGCCTTTTGGTCATCATTTTCAACAAAATAATTAATTATATTTTTATTGTAAAGTAGGTATATAATTATCACTTATTAGTTAACATAAATTGATGGTGACCCTTCAAAAATACAAATTTTTCAAAATTATGGTCTGAAAGTTTTGACCTAGTCTGAATATAAATGAGGGCAATTAATGATTATAAATTCCAATGTTATTAACTGATAAGTCGAATTAATATTATTTGCATATTATCATATTTGTATTTATATATAGGTATAACAATATTATATGCTTTAGAAGTTTCAAGTACCTAATCAATAAATATTTTTATATTACAAGAAAATAACATAAATCATTATTCTTGGTTGATTAATATGTAATATCATACACATTTTAACTTCAGAAGCTCATAAAAATTTATTTTGACTTTACGGTAGACATTTTATTTTTGACAAACTTATGAGGAATCATATATTAAATGTTAAAATCTCAGATATAAAAATAAAATGTTTTATTAGTTTTTAACTAAAATATTGCAAATGTTCGTGATTTGAAAAAAAAGATTCAAACTTTTGTCAAGTCGATTACAAAAATGAAGATTCAATTGAAGTGAGTTTTATGATAATGATAATTCGTATAAATGGAAAATAAAACAATTGTGATTTAAAAAAAAAGAATATTCAAACTTTTGTTTTGTATGTCAAGCCGATTACAAAAATGAAGATTCAAATGAAACGAGTTTTCAAAAAATAATAATTTGTATAAATGGAAAATAAAACTATTGTAATTAAAAAAAAAAAGAATATTCAAACGTTTGTGTTTTGTATATCAAGTCGAATACAAAAATGAAGATTCAATTGAAATGAGATTTTAACAAACACCTTTTCAAATATTGCCTATTTTAGTTATTGATCATTCAAACTTTTGCTGGTTGCCAATGATGCCGTGGTCGTTACCTCATATGCATCTGTTAAATAAGTTTTTATAAACTGCCATTTCGTTAAATTTTTGTATTTAATTATTTCTAATGCTCTACCCGTTAAACGTGTGGTAATATATTTTACTAATGTTGGTGAACTTTCTGTGTCGACTAAACTTACTGCCATATCGCATGCATTTATGAATTGATAGATATCGTCTATTCCTGTGCATAGTGGAATTAATTTAAAAGCGTCCTCTAACTTTATGACTACCATTTTTTTAGTGCGTGTTTTAGTTATAAAATCTAATGACTGATGTTCAAAACTATCTGTAACTTGGCTACGTGTGACTACTCCTTTTCCTACTTGTGGACTTGGGTTTTTACTTGTGCTACCTACTAACTGGGTTTCTACTATAATATTCAACTGGGCTTTCTGTTGGGCTTCAAACTGGGCTTGGGCTTCCTTCTGGGCTTCTTCGTTTACACTAGTGTCATACAATGAATTAGCTACATTCAGGGAGATGTACCTTTTTTGTCCATAAATTACTTAGCTACTTATTTAATACGTTAATACTCATAATAATAATACTCAAAAATGCCCTTTAAATTCAATAATAACTTCAATATTATAACTTCAATAATACGCCCTCTAATAAATTCAAGTAACTTCAATAATACTTCAATAATAAAAATGCCCTTAATAAATCAATAATAAATATGCCCTCAATAAATCAATAATAACTTCAATAATACTCAATAATAAATATGCCCTCAATAAATCAATAATAACTTCAATAATAATCAATAATAAATATGCCCTCAATAAAATTTAATACGTTTTACACCATTATACTTATAGTCAACTACTTAGAATTATCTAATATGTCCTAATTATGTTGCATATGCCTACACCGCTGATGATATGCTGATGGATTTGTTGGTACTGCGACGTGACTTATTTGTTTTTGATGGTTCTTCTTGGAGTTGTCTTCTCGGAAGAGTGATCAATTCTTCTTTGTTGACAGAAGCCTTTGACGGTTTTCCTCCTTTGAAAGAAATCCTACCTCGACTGCGCCAGTGTTACGTACGGCCCTTCAGGGATCCAAAAGCTGATATACTTTTATAATAAACAATAGTCAAATTAAAATAGTAATCAAATGTATTTTATTAAAACCAAATAAAATGAGCAGAACAGTCGTGATAATTGTGTAGTTGAGTGAATTGCAGCTCGTTCTAGAATGATAATCTCCGTGTAAGTTGTGTGTAATGGCTGGTGCATAAGCGGCTCGCTCGGTCTTGGCGGCTTTGGTACATCTAATTAATGTGCATTGGGCCCCTGGCGCCTCTGTCGGCCAAAACAACATCTCCTGGAATTAAATTATTTAAAAAGTTACAATTTTCAGTTATATGTTTATCGCTAACTCTACCACCCCAACCATCTGATATATATGAAATACTTCCCTGGGGAGTTATAGCTATAAGATATTTTACAGTATTTTTATTTTTGTATGATGACCATGTTTGTGCCCTTGCTTTTAAATTTGATGGCTTTTCTATAGCAATCTCAAATCAATCAATAATAACAGCAACTGAATTGCCAAATATATTAAAAAATTATCTTGGCATTGTACTGCGTAGCGCTTCCCTCTCTGGCCAATATATTAAATTTTTAAACATGACGTGTTCTAACAATATGATCACTTTCCTGAAAATAATTGATGCTGTTGAACATGTTACATTAAATCTATATCCTAAATCAGTAAATGGAACCATTTAATCTTAATTTCATTAGACACAATAAAAGGTTTTGAAATTCGTTTAATCTCTGATTATTAGCAGTTAGTCCATGTTTAATTTGATCCAATACTAAATTTAAAACAGCCATTGATTCCAGTCCTGTATAATAAGTTAACATTTTTTCCCGCCCAATAAATGTTTTTTCACTTAAGTTAAAATAATCTACTTGATTTTGTAATTCAGAACACTTATCTCGTAAATTCTCCAACTCGTTGATATCATTTAACTTAAGGTCAGTATTACAAGCTGTTCCACTTTCTTCAGTAGCATTATTCGATATCATTATATCATTTAGTACATCAATACTCATACTGTGTTCATAAGAATCAACCACATTTAATTGTACAGTGTTTGGTAACAATTTTAATTCCATTCTTCTACTTGCACGATTAAACCTTTTAATTGCAGGAGTATTGCTTTACCTAATATGAAAAAAAAAATAATAGTTAATTAAAAATTTAGAAAAGAAATATGATAAAACTATTTACTTCTTCCAGAGTTATAGCCCATGCTTAAGGTTGGTATCCAATCTGGATTTTTATCTAAATTTTTAATTTGAATAAAAAAAAATCATAATTTATAATAATATGCTACCAACCTAATATTTTGTAGTGTAGTAATATTATAACACAATTTAACTTATACAGCAGCTAAAGGTACTTATAGATTATAGTTATTATTAATTTATTCTTATGTTTGTGCGCATAATCACTAATGTGTTAGTCTATAGGTAGATTAAATAGGTCTTATAGTCCCTACTATATAAAGTCAGTCTCAGTTGTACAAGTATGATTATTAATTGTAGTCTGTAAATGAATAGGTAGCATATTAGTCAACGACAAGTACCAAAACAGCCACTAAGTAACTATTGTTTATTTCCAATAAAATATTTACCAGATTTAAAATGAACTGAACAAATCCTCATGTTCTTCAACTGACTATCATGAAATCAGTTCTGTGTAATGCGTTAAGCCACGCTGTTCTCTGTTTTAATATTTGTGTCCTTAAATCGGAGGCAGCATTCACTTAAACCTTTGGAAATCGATAAAGTGACAACGATTTATCCAAGGTTTTGTTGACACAACCGAAAACGGCACAAACAGTCGGCATTTTAAATAATAAAAATGAATTTATTAACAAACAACAAATTAATTCAAAGCTGAAAACAGCGAAAACGTAGCAAATTAAAGCAGTATTCGTTATTTGTTGGACCACCAATTAGTGATAACACATGATTGATAAGATAACGTAATTATTTATATACAGCCCTATTTATAAATCACGTTACAATAATACATACCTAATACAATATCGGTCGGACGTACTTGCATTGCATTAGTTGCATTTTAATAACAGTTATGTTATAAAATTATAAAATATAAACTTTAAAACTTACTTTAATACTTACTTATTACATACCTAATATTACTTATGCCTGTATATTAACTAAACATAGACAAACATTCAACTACGATTGAGTTTGAGTAATAATTTAATATCAATATTACGATAGGTTTGAAGTTTGAACACAAAATGTTTACAAAAATTAAATGATTTTACTTATTAGTTATTATACCAATAATAAGAACTTATAATAATTATGCGGTTACTATAATGCTTATAATAATTAATTAGCAATATATATTATTGTAACGTGCCAACCACACGATACTCGTATAGATGGAAGTAAATTGAATAACACCTCGATGACGATACCAATTTGTAATTATTAATTTATAATGTGCAAAATAGTTATAATGAAAATATTCTAAGTCCAAATAATTATGTTTAAACTGTGAATTAGCGAGATGTGACTATGTACGATATTGGTGTCTGCTCGAGAAGATGGGTGCTCGTCTGATGAACGCTTTTCCATCAGCTCTCCTCGATGGATCTCTGTCCCTGTCCCTTCTACCCGTTCACAAGACCATACATTGTCATCCTGCGGTTAGGCCTAACGTGATTCACACGCTTGCACACGCCGGATGTCTATATATATATATATATATTGTACATCTGTGGTGTTATTTAACATAACAGCACAAATCTAATTTATATTATTTTTAGAATTTTTCATATACGTAGTCATATATCTATTGCCGCACGCCTCTCATGATCACGCTCTCGATTTTACTATTATCGATATTATTATTATTAATGTGAGTAGAGTGAAAAAGAGAGTTCTAGAACCAGATCCTGCTGGCAGATTCCTATGCTCTCGCCACCAGTCGACTACGCCCACCAGCCGCCGCCGCCGCGCTGGCAGAACTCGCCGCCCGGGGAAAATAAGTTAAAACATTTTTTCGTCCGACCGGGTTTCGAACCCGAGCCTGTGGTTTGGTGAGCGACCACTGTACCACTGCGCCACCTCGTCACATATGCTTATAGTTAATAACTAGCCCTATTTAACTTGTATACAGAAAATGTACATATGTTATCATATTTGTGTTTTCATCTAATGAAAATTATTTCTAATCACATATATAACGTGTTTGTATATGTGTTATCACGCACCCTTTAACATAATATTTGTGTTCAGTTTTTATTTAAAATATTTGTACACGTTATATACGAGATAATAATTCAGGTATGTATGTTAATAAAAATATTTATACACGTTATATACGAAAAATAATTCAGGTATTTATGTTAATAAAAATATTATTTATTATGTTTTTTTTTAAATCAACTCATAAATTTCGTCATAATCACTACCCCACCCCTCATACTTGTCCATAAGTCTATAGAGTTACTCGTTATTTCCATCATCACTCCAATCCATTTCGACTGATGGCTGGTCTGAAGGCTGCGCCGTGTGTAATCTTATAGGCGCACGAGGAATTAACATATTCGGTGAATCTATAGATGACGATGATTCAAGTTCTGGAAATAAATCTGGCGACGATATTACATTGTACTGCGGCGGTGTATTTTGTGACGGTGTATTTTGAGGTACCGATGGTTCATGAATTGGGCTCGGAAAATATCGTTCCCAATTATCCATTTATATAATTGGTGACTCCGGACTTGTTAAATAGCCGCTCTCCGGTTCGGTTCTAAATAATATTGGGATTTGTATTTTATGTTTTGTTTTTTAAAAAATATAAATTTACCAGGGCGCGATTTCTGAGCCTGTTGTTATAACTTATAACCCTCTATTAATAGTTCAAAGGGTTGTGCATCCGGACTATATACCAGATTTTGATACTGTTCCATAGGCTGTTGATGACGTCTAATAGTCGGGCGACAAGCTCGGTGATAAACGTCTATTATAATATCCCCAATCACTTTGTGATGAATTGGACATTTTTTTGAAATAACTTGTTTGTATGTTACAAGCTTATAACAAACTGATAAATCCGTACAAAAATCTAAAAATGTATCAGTATATTATATTCGAATAATAATAATAAACGCGCTGCACCTTTTTTGTCAAAAGACCTACTCTTATATAATATATAAACATATATATTATCCAGTGGGACCAAACCTTACCCAGAGTCAATCTGGTTATAATGACAGTATCTCTTATTGTATAACTGTTAAATTCCTTTTTTTTGTCCAAATACCTACTCTTATTTATAATATATCCAGTGACGCCAAACCTCTCACACTCGGTATATATTATGTCCTGCGTCGTATTATATGAAAACATATTATGATAAAAGTCTCGTTTTTCTTACAAAAGTCTGCCGATTTAATTGTATTTAAACTATCAAGACCTGATCCACCATATGCGTTCGGTGCCGCCAAATATATCAACCTCATGTAACATTTTAATGTATAGTATTGACAGAGTCAATAAGGTTATAATGACGGTATCTCTTATTGTATAACTGTTAAAATGATTTCATTTCCTTTTTTTTTCTTAGAAAAGTATACCCCACCGAATATATCACTGTCAACTAGGGTATTCCTTATTGTTTAGCTTTAAAAATGTATACCGTCTTATAAAAATCTCCCTATATTACCGATTTAGTCGTATTTATACTTTCGACACCTATGTACCTCAAATTTTTATTCCTGTGCTACTCTGTTAAAATTACTATGGACGCCAATTCGAGTAAATATATACTGGGTGATTCTTTTATCAAACAACACTCATTATTTCAAAAAGTGTAAATTTTTTTGAAGATATTTTTTTACATAGTTTCAAGTTGCTTATAAAACAACGTTTTTATTAAAAAATTATATTTTTAATTATTTTTTATCCTTATAATTTTTTAAGTTTTTTACTTTTTTGAATGACAACATAGGGTTTTAATTTTATATTTTAAAGTAGAATATTTTTCTTAGTATTTTGATACATGAAAATTGAATTTGTTGCGAGTAGTTTATGAGTTATAAGTATTTAAAGTTTAGACGAGCGGTGAAGTGGACAAACATTTCGCGGGGTAACCCCGAACCACTCCACTCCGCCCGTCTAAACTTAAATACTTATAACTCATAAACTACTCAACCCAAATTCGATTTTCATGTATCAAAATACTTACAAAAATATTCTGCTTTGGAATATAAAATTAAAACCCTATGTTGTTATTCAAAAAAGTAAAAAACTTAAAAAATTATAAGGATAAAAAATATTTCAAAATATAATTTTTTAATAAAAACGTTGTTTTATAAGCGACTTGAAACTATGTAAAAAAATATTTTCAAAAAAATTTACACTTTCTGAAATAATGAGTGTTGTTTGATAAAAGAATCACCCAGTATATATTTAATATTTAATATTAGTGCGATTTTTTTTTCTACAGTCTTAGAAGTAGTGCATGATTATTTCGAAAGCACGTTAGAAAACATGCTTTCTCCCTTATGCGGTACAGAAGCTCATAAAACAAACAATTGGATGGATTGCAGCAAGAAAGCACGTATGTTCTGTTTTTTATATCATCTAGAGGGTCAGCCGTTCTGGTTTGAATTCGTCTCCGAAAAGTTTCGGGGAAAACCGGAATGGCTGATACCTCTATTAGCTAGGTATTCAAGCTATGACTTCTAATATTTTTTTAGGAAAATATATCAGTTTGTTTATCGATTAGAATGTGATAGGGTTCATGCTAACTGGAACTTCTATTTGGCGTGCAGTAGTCTGGTTTTCGATAATGTTTCAGGACCCAGATATTTTGATAATCTAGCTTCTAAAACTTATAACTCTAAACGTTTACATGACGAGGACCTGGAATTGAAGAACGTCCAGATATGAGGTAATTATTGGCACAATTTAATATTCAGAATTTTCCTCAAGTCATGTGATTGCTCGGATTTAAAAGTTTTAGAATACTTAGATTTACATAATAAACTAGGTCCTGAAACAAAAAATCAGAAAAATGTTTTGTTCCAGTTAGGTATTGAAATCGATAATACAAAAGTTAGAGCTTTATATGGTGATCGAGCGTATACTTTTGGGGATACATATAGAGAAGACCGCGTTCGTGAGCGATTATCTACTGAGGAGGAGACTTGGTGATATTATGCAAGTATTTTAGTTTTTAAAATATTACTTAGTGAGAAAAGGTCGAAATAAAATCTTTTGTTATACGTCACATACGGTGAGGATTGTTAGCATGATGGGTGAGCGGTAGCGGGGAAATGTACATGTTAGGGATGGTCATTTAGTACATTCCACACTGTTGTTGTGTTATAACGTTCGCTCCACAATAATTATAAAATGTTTAAATGCGATCAATGTGATTTGGAATTCGTATACAAGACCAATCTGACTGCTCACCGGAAAACACATTTGAAAATGTTTAAATGTGATCAATGTACTTCGGAATTCATGGCGAAACGGAGATTGCTGGCTCACCAAAAAACCCATGAAGGTATTCGTTTTCCTTGCACTGAATGTTGCATTACATTCAGTTACAAAACCAATCTCAAAAAACATTTGAAAAATATTCACGGTAAGAATTTCTGTTTAGCACTTTAAATATTTATTTTATATATATTTTTATAATAGGTATCGTACAAGCCCCGATTCAGCAAAGAAATATCCGAGTCAAACCACATGTACCCACCCCCGGTAATGTTCGTGGTAAGTTTTGTTGATTATCACTTTAAATATTAATTTATATTATATTATATTATATTTTTACTAGGCACCGTACAGCAGGGAAATATACAGATCGCACCACATATATTCGTTCCCGAAATTCCGGCAGGACCGTCACGACATACCACTCCAACAGTGCTACCAACCCGAAATGACCGCGCATCAACCGTGCGAGATTGTCCGGCGGAACCGCCTACCCAAAATGATAACGTATTATCAGTACGAAATAAACAAAATACCCACGTGCCAACAGTACGAGATAATATAACGGACACATTTTACCACGACATTGATGATGATGAAGATTACGCTCAAGTCGTAGATATTATCGAGGATCTTGGATACTGTGAAAAGGAAGGTTAGTAATTTAATTTTTATAAACGAGGTATAGACTAATTAGGTTTTTTTTTTAAAAAAGATTCATACATTACGCTTGATAATGGAAAACGCGTTTCCAGTGCCTACACTAGATCAGCAGTTAAGGCAAAAAAATTACGTTTGAATCTCGTAAAGTCCCCCGGATTTCAGTCAATATCTACATCAGCAAACAATACTATAACCTGGTATTACGTAAAAAACACCAATAATATTCAAAACTATATTTACTTCCTGGATTCGATCAAATCCGAACTATACTCTGTTCAAAATAAGATCGTGACCCGGCGGCGACCAGTTTTCGTCGGGCGGCGGTCAGACATATGGCCAGATGCCGTCCCCACTACAGCGACGCGTCGGGCGCAGCCACGGAACAAAGCCACGCCCATGCGCACAACTCGGCCGCCGGGTCACGATCTTATTTTGAACAGAGTATAGTTAATTTACTAAAATCAATTGCAAGTAAAAATCCAATCAAGTTTAATTTAAAGCTTGAAGCGACATATAATATACCAAATGTTGAATATTCGTCGGAAAACCGATTTTTTAAAACTTCGGCTAAGGCGGTTTTCTGTGATACTGGAGTACAGGAAATTGTTGAAGAGGCATTTACTAAATTAATGAAAGAGCAAGACGAGCATGCAAGCAAGGGTAGTGGTTTCACATTACAATGTATTGACGGTTTAATGTTAGGTGTATATAAATATACACCTTTGGGCGGATCATCATACATGCCACTACCAGACTCAATAGAAAATAAAAAAGCTGTGATTAACCCTCAAAACTTAGATATGCAATGCTTTAAGTGGGCAATTCTAGCAAAACTTGTTACAGGAGAAAATAAATACCGTGTTGGTGATAATTATACATCGCTCGAGGATAAATATAATTTTTCTGGATTAACATTCCCAACACCACTACATAAAGTTAAAATTTTTGAAAAAAATAATCCAAACGTGCTATCAATGTTTATGGTATCGACAAGAAATTTCAGCCACCAAAATTCGCAGAATATAAAGTTTTTCCTCTTAGAGTAGTAGATGAAGTAAAACCGGACCATTTTGATCTACTTATAACATCAGACGAGGATAGCAGTCATTATAGCTCCATATCTAATTTTTAACGGATCATCAGGTCACAAAAAACTAGACATAATGGACAATCAATATTTTGCAAACGGTGCTTCACATCATTCGACCAACAACAGTACAAATATAAATTAAACGGTGAGGCAGGGCTAGAGCAACATAAATTAATATGTGGAGAACATAAACCTATACTAGCTCAGATGCCTGAACCTGGTACAATGCTCGAGTTTACTGCATGGGATAAAACGCAACGTCATCCTATAGTAATTTATGCAGATTTCGAAGCAATTCTCAAGAAGACTGATGAGAAAAGTTTAGAAAAAACAGCAGCTTTTCAACAACACGAGCCCGTGAGCTATGGACTTGTGGTTAAAGCAAATAAGGACATTCCAGTAGAACTGCTCGAAAAATTTGAAATTCCAACATCTCCTGTAATTTACCGTGGAAATGAAAATAATAAGGACGTAGCTGGACATTTTGTGGATAGTATTG